GTCCAAGCTCCAAGATAGCAGTGCAGTCGCGCAGCAAAAAGTGATGAGAAAAACGCACGGGTGCTGAGGAGAGAGAGTGGGAGCGGTTAATAATTTTCCCCCACCGCCTTCTTTCCCAGATCTTGCGCATCTTAGTTCCGTTTGGCTTGTTTCACTTTCGCGACGCTGATAGCCTGGCACTAGCCTGCGAGCATGTTCCTTTACGGTTATAGGCATAGAAGCAGTATATACTGTGTTTTAGTGCGTATACTGGCTCACTATGGTCAAACGAGATTTAGAAATTTGCAAAAATAAGTACTTGTTGCTTTCACGTTTTAATGTACATTAAACAACACTAATTTAATTACTAAACTTTTTTAATGTTTACCAAAGCAAGTTCTGAGTGTTCTATAAACTGAAACTGCAGTTTTGTTATTGTCGGTGTCAATTCCCACATGTAACATTACTCCCTCTTCGGGACACAGATAGCTGCAGCTCTTTCGCCTGGCCGTGTTTTGTGTATCGTTCATACGAGCCCCTTTTACAAACACTTCATTGCCAGAGAGCTCAGGGAAGGATTTGTAAAGGGAAGACATGCACTTCAACATACTGTTTGTTTTCGTTTAGTCTGCTAATAAGCTCAGAGTCACGTTGTTTTGGCGGCGGACTATCTGGTATTTGCTTACTAATAAATCCCTCATTTTGAACACACCTAAATCCAATATTTTCCTCTTGGAGCTCACTACAAGGAATATCCTGCTATAGAAATGTCGGGTTTCTTCCTTTTGTCCATCGAAGAGAGTCAGCTCGACCGCCAGTTGAAAAAGATTCCTCTCTGGTGTGCACACTTTAGCTAACCGGAACACTGGACTTCCAAAGGGGACAAGGACGACAGAACCAAGGACAACTAAGAAGGCGTCCTGAATAATTGGTGTATAACACAATAACAAAAAATATATAGAATTAGCGAGGCTTAGTTCCTTTAACAGTTCTTATATTCATGGAGATTATAGTGGAACTCCACGCGAGCGCGAACGGAGCCCCATACCAGGGCGGATAATCCCTGCCCCATACCTTATAAAATTTGGTAATCTCCGTATCGCGGGCTCAGATGCCATCTCATCGAGTTAACGTGTTAGCTTTTAATTGATCGCAGACTCAAGTTTATGTTTCTCAGTCATGGTTCTCCCCTAAAGTTAAGTATAGATTTTTGGATTTCTTTGCAATATTTTCTAGTCCATTGTCTGAAGTAAATTTAAAATGCATAAACGGGAACCTCGGTTTTAGCTCTGGCTAAATCTATATATTAAGGACTTTCAGGATTGGTCGGTAGAAAAATTTAATGACATCTAAGAACCCACTTTTTTCAAACGCTTTCCGCCTTAATATTGCACAATGATGTGAGGAGCCATATTTTGGAAAATCTTCTAATTGCAAGTGCATTAGAAAGTGCCGTTAAAGAAAAGTCTTATTGAAATTGATAGTTGATGTCTTAAGGTCTCTCAGTATATGGTAAAAATTACTAGGAAGCTTCTGTAGAACCATTAGCATTGAGAGAAGTTCTGACAAGCTAGCCAGTTAAGTCTTAACAAGTAATCTTGACAATTTCAAAATGGCAACTTGTGGCTAAAAACATTCTAGTACGGTTAACACTTTCTACGAAAGTTTTCCGAACACTGCACTCATTCGCTCAAATTTTGTTTCAACCCCTTCACTGCCAGTGTTTGATGGAGTTTTGTAAGGCGAGTCTAACTTTTGAGTCTGCAGACGAAATCCTGTGATGTGACCATTCAAATGAAAGCTCTCTTCCTGTACTTTCATATGGTGCTATTTGTTTGTCAAAATTTTAGAAAATGAAATTTGGAAATTTGGTCGAAATTTGCCTTTGGCCACATTTGGCAGTGAAAGGGTTAAGAACATTATTTTAAATGCATAGAGATAGATAGATAGATAGATAATCTTTATTTATCCACGGTACAAAATTCGTCAGTTTTAAAAATGCCTAATACTAATATAATAAAAATATTTAAATAAAAAAGCTGCTTTCCACGAATGCTGTGCCTTACAGTTCTTTGAGTAATCGTTTAAATTGCCCAAGAAACTCTGCTTCCCTTAAGTTACAAGGAAGACTGTTCCAGAGAATGGCGCCACTATAGCTGAAGCTGTTTTTGTAATAGTTTGTGCGCGGTAGTGGAACATTGAGTTTATTTTCAGAGTCCCTTAGGTTATATGCGACTTCTCGCCTTTCAAATTTAGAACTAAGATAGTTTGGAGCCAACCCGTGCAGAGACCTGTAAACAATCGTAGCTCTTTGAATTTGTTGCTGGCAAGCTACAATCTTAGACAAAAACCTTGAAACACCTTGGAAAATTCTGCTCCCTTTTGTTTTCCCCCTCCCTTTTGCAATGTTGTTGTAGCCACGCAACTTTGCAATAACATCTCAACATTGCAGGCGGAAAGGGACGTGCATAGGTGTTTCAAGGATTTTTGGCGAGGATTGTAGGTTTTTCCACCTTAGAAGTTTGAAAAGGTGACCAGCATCTACGTCATAGCTTGAGTAGGTCAAAACACGGGCTGCTCTGTTTTGTAGCTTTTGAACCTTATTCCGTAAAGCTATCCCACAGTTTCCCCAAACAATGTTGCAATAATCAAAGTGTGGCTGTATTAAAGCTTGATATATTAGTTTTAAGGTCGCCTGAGGGACAAGTGCCTTATTCGTTTTATGGCCCCGATACTAGAAGCGACTTTCTTTGTTACTTTCTCGATATGGCCACTCCAATCAAGTCTGTGATCGATGGTCACTCCAAGTGATTTTGCAGTAGTGACCTGGCTAACTTGAAAATCATTAATTGCAAATGCCAGGGACTCTGTGAGAGTACTTAGCCTCTGCCTAGATCCGATAAGCATAAATTCGGTTTTAGTCATATTTAGAGTGAGTTTGTTTGCTCTTAACCAGTTGTGAACATTTTATAATTCTTGATTTAGATGCAACTGAGTATTGTCTGCATTATCACCTGCGTATGTAAGGTGGGTGTCATCAGCTCACAGTTTGAAAAACAGTTTGGAAGATCGTTGATGTATAACAGGAATAGTAGTGGACCTAAAATCGTCCCCTGGGGAACACCACAACGTAATAAACAGCTTTGAGAGAGCGATCCGTTGATGGAGCACATTTGAGTACGATTCTCTAAATATGACTTAAACCATTGGTGCGCGTTACCATATATGCCGCAATTGCTTAATTTTGATAAAAGGATCTCATGGTCAACTGTGTCGAAGGCCTTTTGAGATCTAAGAAAACAACGGCGTTGATTTTACCGCGGTCAATATTATACGCCCAAGTGTCCGTGGCCTCGAGGAGAGCCGTGACAGTTGAGTGAATAGCACGAAAGCCTGATTGATATTTACAGATTATATTATGCTCTTCTAGGTAGGCATATAATTGATCATAGACGATTCTTTCAAAGACCTTGGCCATAACTGAGATCACCGAAATTGGACGAAAATTATTTAAGTCGTCCCGATCGCCTTTTTTTAAAAAGTGGGGTGACCTTTGCACATTTCCAGTCATCCGGAAATATGCCTTGACTTACTGACTGGTTAAAAATATCACGGATAGGAATGCAAATAAGATCTGCACATTCCCGAATGAGCCTAGCAGATATCTTGTCGAGGCCAGCTGCCTTTGACTTATTTAGACGATTCAAAAGTGAGAGAACTTTATTTGTACTGGTCGGATGGACGTTTATCTGTGCCAGTGAGGTACTTTTGATAGCAATCACTATTTGAGGAATCAATATTGCTGGCAAGTTCTGGACCGATAGTAGCAAAGTGATTATTAAATTGGTTCGACAGCACAGTTGGATTTGTTATTGATACTCCATTTATTTCAGAGTTGCCACCGATTTTTTTCCCACATTTTCGCGAAGTAAGTTCATTGATAGTCTGCCAGGTCGTTTTAGAATCGCCCATATACTTGTTAAAACTATTTTGATAATAGGCTTGCTTAGCTAATCTGATTTCGCTATTTACTATATTGCGTTGTTTTTTAAAAAGTGACCAGTCATTTGAATCATTCGATTTACTTGCTTTAATCTTTAGAATATCCCGATCGTGCATTCGTTTCTTAAGCTCAGATGTAGTCCATGGGAAACTACGCGTGCGAACACGCATTGTTCTCAAGGGAGCATGCTTATTAGCAATAGATAGAAACGAGCATTTCCATTGTAGCCACATTTCATTGGGATCAATTGAATTGTATATGTGATCCCAACAATGAGATGCAATATCGTTCCGAAAATTTATTTAAAGTTTCTGTAAGTTATAGCATTGTGCCTACCAGTCATTCCATTCACGGATAATTTTCGATAGGCAAAAACCATGCCATGATCGCTAATACTGATATGACGAACCCCCGAACACACAACTTTATCTGGACAATTAGTATAGATTACATCAATAAAAGTTGCAGAAGTCGGAGTTATTCTGGTTGGTTCAGTGATAAGTTGCTGTAGACCATAAATATCAGTGAGACTCATTAATTTGCATGTATTATTGTCATATCGAGTAGCAATCATGTCGCAGTTAAGTTTAGTTAAGGTCTCCCATTAGAATATATTCAATATTTTCGGAATCTAGTTTCCCAATTAAAGTTTCGAAAGGTGAAAAAATACTAATCGGAGAATCAGGTGGTCTATACCACGTGGCTTCGTCACGAGGATATTGTTGTTTTAGGTCAATTTTGTGGTGAAGTCATTACTTAGTACCTTTCCCTATACACAAAATGCTTTCATCAGGGAGCATTTACCATAATAAATGTTTTAATAAGGTGATTTTCGCACACTGTAAATTATAAAGATCTCTCTCAGCCCCTGCAACTGCCAAGGTACAACGTAAATAATTTTCGAAAGATTTTTTCAATGACCGTCTGTTTATTTCGCAGTTTTTCCCTCATATACATTGTAATTACATGCACCTTTATTTAACTGCAATGCTTCGTTTAGAGTAATTGCTGAGAATGTCTTGCTTGTTTCTGTTTGTTTTATTCCACTGTATTTTGAACCAACTTCGAGTGGATCCATTCTACAACCGAATTGAAAGGTTATTCCCTACAAAATATGTAAGTCTGCCCTCTGTTTCTAGTCTTGACAGCACGCCACAAGGACCCCAACTGCAAACAGGATTGGTGCTCTACATTCGAGAGTGTGCATTCCAAGGAAAACGTGCATCGTGTCACTTAAATTTACATTTAAGACGCCTCTGCAATTCGGGGTAATATCTGACTGATTGATACCGTTTCCAGCCCGCGTGTGGCGCGTCTTGATAGTAGTAAACGGCCGTACAGTTGGAATTAACGGCGAATATAATAGGTCCACATACTTGTTTTCTATTGGAAATGCCTTTTACATTGGCAGAGAACTTGAGTGATCCTCCATAAGCACAGCGATCCACGTTTAAGTAGTAATGAAACTTTTCAGAATTCCCTGTAAGAACAATACATACTTACAAAATCACGAAAAGAAAGCAAGTATAATAATCAGACTAGTGATTGTCGCTTACGTGTGATGGGCGCAACGTGCTCTAGTTCCGGTGATAGCTTTCGTTTCAAACCCTCCCAGTGAAACTCAATGCCATTAGTAGTGCAACGCTGAAATGACCGTAAAAAAGAAAAAAATAATTTGCTGCTGAAAATACTTATCCCTTTATGTAGGTAGAATTCAAATATTTTATGAATGCAGTCCCACACAACGCTGTTGTCCCACCCAGTCAATACTTCTCTGACTGCTGCCTCAATCTCTTATCTAGACCCATATAGTGTGTAATCAATAATAATATCAATAATAATCTATTATTCTATCAACACTCTATTAATAACCTACAATGGTGACAATAACATCAAAATCTGGTGTAAAATGGACATTTGTCTAAAGTAGATCCAAAATTTGTTAGTTTTCTCTCCGGAACAACGACGTTCGAAACTGGCCTTCTCCTGTGGGTCACTTTAATGTGGCCCGAATCCATTTATATGCGGGGTTGGTTATGTTTTTGAATCGCGTTTCTCGGCAGGAATTTTTTTAACCGATTTCCAAGATTTTTTGCATCCCCAATAAAGAATGGTCGATCTTTAAGAAAATGTTATTTATTTTCTTGTAGGTATTAGACCGTTTGAGATATCGGCATATGTTTAAAACCGCATTTTTGCAAAAAATGCGTCAATGATTTCGAAACCTTAAGACAGGTTTTCACTCTAACTTCGGCAAATAAGCCTCAGAGCTCTCTAGTTTTATATCTGCAAGTTTGAAGGCAATCGTGACCGTAGAACTTGCTTCACAAACAGCTGGTCAAATTTAACCTTAAAATGCATCGCTAACACATTTGTGAAAGTTGACGCACGAATAGAGGGAAACTGCTGGCGGACTATCTCCTATCTGCAAGGGTATAATTATATTCTTGCCCAGAGCTTCAGTTGCAAGAAACTGAGTAATCAGAAACCTACACCGAATATAGTTCGCAATACAAGAAGAACAACTTTACGATGAATGCGGGGCAAGATAAAAGAATTTCTACTTAATATCAAACTTACTTGTATTTGTCCCTCTCTTTTCGAAACCTATCTTAACAAGGGAAATTACATTATCTACGAAAAACTCTAAAAAGTTTTTAGCGTCGCAGGTTTCCATTTTGATGAGAAATAAAGCGGCCAACTCCAGTACTTCTAATTGTCCATTTTTCAGCTGCACTGAAAGCCCTCGTCACTTGGTAATTTATTTAAGGTTTTTAGACTTGACATCACATTCGCACGGGAAGTTTAATTGCCACTTGGGGATAAAGATGAAGAAACTATGATAATCGTCTTATTTTTTTCATTATCCCCAGTGGCAAAATGCCCGTGCGAATGTGATGGCAAATCTTTCAAACTTGAATGAATTACATAATACAAGGGTTTTCGTTGCAGCTGAGAATGGATCGGTTGAGATATACTGGAGTTGGTGGCTTTATTTCTTCTCAAGACGGTAACCTTCGGTGCTAAAAACTGCCATTGTAGGAGATTTCCGTAGATGTTATATCGTGCTTTGTTGAGGTTTTTTGCGAAAAGAGAAGGAAAAATACACAGTAACTTTGATAAATAGAAGTTTATTTAATCTTGCCCCGCATTCAGCATAAAGTTGTTCTTCTTGTATTGCGAACTGTATTCGCCGTAGGTTTCTGATTACTGAATTTCTTGCAACTGAAGCTTTGGGTAAGAACACCCTTGCAGATAGGAGATAGTCCGTCGGCAGTTGTCCTCTATTTGTGTGTCAGAACTTTCACAAAATTAATGTGTTAGCGTTGCATTTTGAGGTTAAATTTGACCAGCTGTTTGTGCAGTGAGTTCTACGGTAACAATTGATTTCAAACTTGCAGATATAAAACTGGAGCGCTCTGAGGCTTATTTGCCGTAGTTCGAGAAAACTCTGTCCTAGGGTTTTGAAATTATTGACGCATAATTGTAAAAATGCGGTTTTAAACATATGCCGATATCTCAAACATTTTTATACCTATAGGAAAATAAGAAGCATTTTCTTAAAGTTCGACCATTCTTTATTAAGGATGCCAAAATTCATAGAAATCAGTTAAATCATTCCCGCCGAAAAACCCGATTCAAAAACATAACCAACGCGCATATAAATAGGTTCGGGCAACCTTAACATGTCAGTGGTCATTGGTCCAGCTGTTGGTCCATTTAACCCCTCGTCCTTACTTTACTCTTGACCTTACATGTAGATAACAAAAGACGTTATAACAAACGGATGAAAGAAGCGGGGCTTATCATGGCAGTCATTAAAAAAAAATGATAATTTTAAGCGACAAAAGACTCTGTTACTGAAGCTTTATGAATGCAGAAAAGTGTGTTAATTAAAGCGTTGCTACAAAGGTCTTTATCTTGAATAATTTTTGTTTAAAATATCATATTTCATCCTGTGTTTGGTAAAATTTAGGCCCTCCTATGCCTCTGTGACTGTGATATCGGTTTTGCGCCGCTTTTCTTAAATTCTTTTCTTGAAAGATTACCTTCCTGCAAAATGGAATATAAGTAAAAGATGATGTGCCGTCAAGTGAACCTTTTCTGCACAGCTTGTATCTTAGAGCACTTCCTGGGTAGAGGTATTCCACGAGGAAAAATATGGCCAAACCAATGACAAAAATAAGGACGGTCAACGATATGCACAGCACTGTTGAAGAAATAAAATTATATATTTTTTTACCATAATATAACAGTGACGTGCAAAGCTTATAGTAATGCTACTTTCAGGGCATTTTTACAATTAAGTACTCTGGTTAACTGAGTGGAAATAACGCTGTTAAATGCTAAAGGATCCAACACCTGATATTTTAGTGTGAGTCAGCCTACGCAATCTTCTTCAACTACGATCGATCCTCCGTAAAGACCCAAAAAATACAAAAAAGGTCTTGCCAACTAACGTTCTCGCCATTACATCAGTCACCTCTAAAAACTTATTTGAACGAGTCAAACTTGTTGGAGACTATAGCTCCATAGTCTTTGAGAAAACAGCTTTTTATGGGTCTAACTATACATCTGGGCGATTGGTGCTTGTAGAGATGTAAGGAGGAAGCTGTAAGCAGAGCAGAGTGATTCGCTTGTGGGCGGTGTCCAGAGAGCATTCTTTGTATTAACTGAAAGGGTTCATTACGTGCACCTACTTATCTCGTTTAAGTGATATATATGTAGGGTAGCCATAAAGAGGCCTGAAATCTAACATATAGTCTGACAAGTCTATGAAAAACATCTTTCCAAAATTCCTTAACACGTTAAGGTCTGAAGATGCGTTGAATTCACATAACTTGTCAGTTACTTGCGGGAAATGAAAACAAAGCAAAAATTTCGAAACCATGCTTACTCCGTCTATATTTCGTCCGCTCTTTTTGCAGCTTTACATTCAGATCCATCTTAAAGCGATCATAAATGGTTTCTATTTCTGAGGTAATTTGTCCATCGGTGATTCCAAGCACTATGCACACAAAGCATTGCACCATATTCACATCATCAAGTTTAGGAGACTTCTTTTCACCCATGGACATGCCCAGTAGAATGCTACTTTGACTCAGGAGAACGCTGGGTGGCAGGTTGGATTCTGGGATGGCAGTTCCTGGATTCTCGGGATCGACCGTGGCGTATATGCGCTCACCAGCACGAACAGAGCCCATGCACTTGACTTGAATTACTCCGATTACACAAACAACTTCCGTGGCATCTAAAAAAAAGGCATTACGTATTACGCATTCCACATTCCACATAAACGACCAAGATTACTTCATGTGATGTGTCGCGATACCCAAGCTAAGGGTAAAAAGGTAAACGTCACACACGAGCCAAAGTCCCAACCGGCCGGTGCTTATTCCAGTAATTGTAAGCCTATAAGAAGTATTTCTTCTCCCCCCTCCCTCCTTGACGAGATGGTAGTCCATCACATGCAGGGCTACCATCAGCAGTATGTCGCCGGTACCCACTTACACACCTAGGAGAAGAGAGACAAAGTTCCTTATCTAAGAAACACACGCCTCCACAATACCTAAAGGGAAGCGTTAGATATACCCATGATCATAAATCAAACTATATGAAGTACTAAAAACTTCTTTCCCTGCTGTTCCATGGTGGCGAGTGTGCAAATCGTTGGTATAATTTAAGCAATAATTATGTACACTTGCCACAAAAGAAGAAGAATAAAAGACTCTAGAAAAAAGGGACTGTTAGCAGTGGTTAGAGTATTGAGCAAAAGAAACAAGGCTGATTTTACAGTAGGGAATATATATTTTTTGTTACTAATACTTCGGAATACACGGCCTTCCTTATTCAGGGTCCTACATACAATGATTAGGTTAAGCTAAGATGTTACAATTGGAAATAGAGAATAGCGTCCTCTATTCTTTATTTCAAACCTTATCTTTGTATATAAGACCCTAAAGAAGGAAGGCCGTGCCTTCCGAAATATTGGTAACAAAACAACTAACTGCAGACAGTACTTTCAGTTCGGCCTTCTGGGGCTCATCAGTGCAGTGCTGATGCTAGGATGGAGGTAAAGCTATACAGCCACCCCCAAAAATATGTATTTCAAAATCAGCTTTGCCTCTTTTCTTCGATATTTCAACTTATAGCTGATTAGATCCTTCATTAGGATCCGGTCCTTCTTTTTTGTATGGTTGGTCTTTGCTTCCAAAATTGAACTGTTAGCGTGTTGAAATTAAGACTGTTAGGAGATCGACTGCAGTTCCCTAAGAGTTGAAGGTAGAGTAGAAAACGGATTTGGCTTCTTTACTCGCATCAACCTTGCAGTCACTTGCCTTCTGCCTCCTATGCCGGCGGGTAAACCTGCTTACTCACTTTCTTCAACCTCCACAAAAGAAAGACCAGCTCAGCAGAAAGAGTGAAAAGTCTTTATATTCGAGTCTTTTCCTCTACCTCACCTTTTCAACCGAGATCATCATTGATATTTATTAATCTCTGAGTTATTTTGTTCATTTGTTTTTAGTTTAATTGTATTTCTACATTTCTATTGTTTTGTAAGTCAAGAAAAACAACCTCATTTCTTATCTCTGCCTTTTGATTAGATTCAAGACATACGGCTAGCTGTTACGGGATTAATACTTGAGGATAGTAAGTTTCAAGCAACCAATGGCATGATTTTCTAAAATAAAACGACCAGGATATCAAAGTTTCATCTATGTCAGTTTTAGACCCAAAACAGCCAAATCCTGATACCTTATTTCCTTTATAAAAATTTACCTTTATGGCGATTTTCATCTGAAAAACACAAACCTTTTTCATTCAATGGTGGTGTAGCCGTCAGATACGCTGACCGGCTTATGACTCCTGCCATAAAAACATCCTTTCCATTCTTGTTATCTAGCAGCTGTATACTCAAGTGTCCGTCGTCATCCTTGAAGAAACCAACAACGTCCCCTTCCTCGAAATCGTCAGACACATTGGGATCTTTAAGTCTGAAGTGATATCCAATGTCCGCTTTCCTGTCACCTGCTTCTTGCACTTCGAAAATAAGGTGCTCGATGTGCGCTCGTTTTGCATCCAAATGGTCGATTACCTGAAGTTTCCGGAATGCAGCAGATCCTGGTTCAAATAAAATAAACCTTGCGGACTTTAGTTTGTCATTATTAAAATAAATTTTTGGTCGTCGGATCATTTTGTTGTATTTAACATGAAAACCTCGACAAGATGATCCCAACACTAGTCGAGGTGCAGGGCCGGGTTGTTCAAAGCCGGGTAGATAATTCAGAAAAACATAGTGAAAATGTTTCCTGGGAGATACTTTATTTAACCCAGATTAAAATATGACGCCGGGTCAGCGCTAATCGGCCTTCCAATATTACTGCGCCCAGGTGTATTTTCTGCATTTGAGCCAAGCTAATCATCAATGAGGGGCGAACTTTTACCCGGTTCAGTTTCTCTAGCACTAGAAATATTTGTCTTCCCCCTGGAAGGAATGAACCAAGTCATAGAAACGTTGGAACAGAATAGTAAGGAAGGGTTTTTGTTTTTTCACTGAACGTTATTAGTCAGTTTAGAATGCTGTGATATACTAATCCTCGCCTATGAATATATAGAATCCTTGTTGACGTATCAGAAATCGAATGAGTGAGCGCAGCGAACGAGTATGAATATAAAAATTTTAAATCTTTCAAAATGCTAAAATTTGCCGCTACACACTTACCGCAAAATGACAACGAAAACGAAGTATCAGCTTTTTAGTAAAAACGTTTGTTAAAAACATAAATGACGGTGAGGATAAAATCCAAGAACTATAAGTAATCTTAACTGTTTGTTCTCAATGCAAACTGAAAATGAAAAAGTAAAATGGCCGGTTTCAATATAAGTTGTTTAATTCCATCTCAACAAAAGCTTACGTCTCGTTCTGTTTATATAAATCGACAGTCCGAAACTATGATAATTTCCGAAATGTTTTTCATTTTTAGGAATAAAAACTCAGTCACATAAATGAGCGCAGATTACTTTTGGCGCGAAACCCAACCTCTGAAATTTTTTCTCACGTGAAAAAACATCGTTCGCGATTCTGATTGGACGTAACCCTGACGTTGTCCTCTGATTGACGCAAAAATGAATCTTTTTGAGAAGAAAAAATAAAAAAAATATACTTTGCTCCTTAAAATCTTGAAACTAAAAGTGTTGTTTAATTCCATCTCCTATATATAAAGTCCTTTACTATGATAATAATCATGGGTAATACTCAGTCACAGAGCGCAGATTACTTACCCAAGAAATTGACTTCTGGGCAACCCTGACTGTCCTGACGCAATGAATCTGAGAAGAAAAAAATGCTATTTGAATTGAAATAACCATGTTACCGTAAATCTATTATTAAGTTCCCCCCTCTCAAACAAGCCCCCTCCCTCTAATTAACCCCCCACCTTTTCAGGGAAAGAAAGTTAATAAGCCTCCCTCGTTAGTAAGCCCCCTGCCCACCCTCACCCTAATTATTCTTTACTAATAATAATCAATCACGACTTTAAAACTTTGTATGGACTGATCCGGGATGGTTTATTTACCAAGTGGAAGTTCGGATTTGATTCTGATCCTTGGCTGCATGACCTCCAACCTTCTTGTACTTGAGCTTTTCCATTTTGTATTGTAGTTATTCATGGAAAACTGATACCATCGTCTTTTCTAAATGAAATAAACCCCCGTCTCGAGCCCCCTCCCCACTCAAATGGGCTTGAAATAAGAAAGCCCCCGGGGGGGCTTAATAGAGGATTTACTTACATTTACTTAGACCACTGTCAATATGCAAGCTAAATGGTGTCCATTACAAGTCATTTTTTGTTCAGCATCACAACTAACTTACTCACAGGTTGTACAGACGGCACGAGTGTTAAACTCAACATGTTAAACTATGAGCGACTCTCAGGGGAGCGTGGTGGGACATGCTTGTTCCTTGGAAATTAGGACTACACCCCAAGAGAGGGGTGTGGTTCAGACTCTAAAAAGAGACGGCACTGTACAGAAACTAACTCCTCGAACCAATTAAAAGCTACAGTTGTATTTCAGTTGCATGTAAGATGTTGAAATTGAACGCCGTCTTCACAGAATGACGGCACCTAGCCAAGAGATACCTGTATAAGTACAAACATTTGCTTCCGCCCTGACCTCCCTAAGTAAGACCAAAATCTGCAATTTAACCCGTAAGTGAAACAAAGAGCATCCCCGTCTCAACTATATGGGAATCCCCTCTGGGACTAGCAGAATTCCTCGTTGTCCTAATACGCAGGATAGTAGAGTAAGTAAATGAAACAATATGCGACACCAGTCATCTGCGTTTTGGCGAAAGGTGGAGGTTTTCACACCCCATTGAAATGCCTAGAAGTTACGATGTGTTCTGAGTTCACACCCACCAGATTGTTGTCTTTTCCTTCTGGGTTTGCTTCTCATCATGAATGGCTTGCTGTAAAACTGCTCCGTTTCTTCTTCAACTCCGTTGTGAAACGACAGCTCAACCAACAGCTGAAAAGCGTTTCTCTTCTCCATTTCCACCCTGGCTAACTGATACACTGGAGCAAAGGGGCCATCATAAACGGAGTCCAAGTTTACAGAGAAGTAATACTGCATACAGGGTAGTGAATAAATCAGATAAAAATAATATTTATTTAAATCTTTGATTTTTATTATTCAGCGCTGAAAAACAAAATATTCTGCCCTTCCGGTGTTCCCTGACTGGTGACTGTCGGAGTTTGGCGTCTTCCAACGGAAACTCTTTCATAAAACTTCACTTCTAAATATGCAATTTATGAAGTCTAAATAATCATGAATTAAAGTTTAAAATGTACAGATGGATATTTACAAGTCTTAAATCTCTTCATGCTTATACACTGCTGCATGGTTATGACACTAGGCGCATGTTGATGCCCGGGGGGTACTCCCTTATATAAGCGATATGGGTATGTGCCGCCCCATTGGGTAGGGTTTTTGGGCCTTTTTGGTCTGAAAACGGGTGTACACTTTGCCCAATCTGGTCTGGAATCGGGTATGGATTTCGGGGGAACTACTGAGTGTATGAACCTATTTATCGTTTTTCAATAATTCCAAATGAGTAAGAAAATAAAGAGAAATATGGGAATTCGAAATGGTTTTGAATAATTTGTTTGCGCTCTAACCTAAGTAATGATAACACAATTTCTGCCTAAAGGCCAGGTCTGAAAACGAGAATGGATTTTAGAGGTCGAGTCGGAAAACGGGTGTGGAAACTAACATTTTTTGGTCTGAAATTGGGTTAGGGTTTGAAGAACCTGGCGGCACACCCCCACCAAGAATTCCCAGGAGTACCCCCCGCCCCCGGGACGATGCATAGGAAAAAACTGCCATTCAATGACAATAGCCCACGTTCGATGTATAAAAATTCTGACATGACTCCGAGGCTTTCTGGTCATTTTTCTATATTTGGTTTGGTTTTCTTTGTGCTCAAGTCTCTTTTGGGAATTGCGAAACAATGGAGTCGTGAACAATTTGCAATGTTAGAATTTTAATATCGAACGTGGACTATTGGAGAAGAGGGCCAATTCTACTGGAAGCTTTAAGTTTGCCTCTTGACAAAAGCCGACAGACATTCGGTTGTGGCAGTGTATCTGGTATCGTTTGGAGTATCAGGACGTGGAAATCAAAGGCGATTGAGGAAAGGCTACCGTATAACAATGACGCAACACTATGTACTGACCGATTACCCCGATGTAACTAAAGTACCAGGGGACTTGAAAAAGTGTTTGTCAGCAAAACGGGCTCTTATATCGGGGTCTTGTCTATATTTAGTGCAACCACGGCAAAGAGAATAAGATCTGATCATTATTAAACGGATTCTTTTTTGACAAATCACTAGATAAAGCCGTCGTACACGGCTAAACGGGATCAAAGAAATTTAACTAAGAATCAAATTGAAAAAGACAAACCTTGTCGACATCGTGTTTTCTGTGAATGACTTCTAGTTCCACGTGCCCGTTTTTATCTTGGTGAAGTTTGGCCGCTGCTGGTTCACGGAAAACCCACACTTTTATCGCAAAAATCTGCCCTACCGAAGAACTTGCTTCCATGTCAACCATACCATCTTCTACGATTTGCCTCGCCTCTCCCAAAATCCGAGATTGCTTTTTGTCAAACACGGTTTTTTCTTCCAGTGTTACAAAACGTACTTCCGCTCTTCCTTGGCTTGTAAAGGAACGAGTACTTAGGGGCAAAACGATATCTTCAGGGAGCAAATAGAAACGAAAAAATATTGTTTTTTTCCTTTTCGGAAAATGACCTGTCCACACCTATTTTCGAATCGTTTACTCGCACGTCCTCACGTATCCTTTTCGGTTTGAAAACGAACAGTCATATTTTTGCACGGTTTGGCCATGAATCGTTCTAAAACAAATGCAAGATCAACAAATTTGTCTCATCAGCAATTAAAAAAGAACTTTCACGTCCTACTGTTACATAAGCGCTTCGAATGTCTTGCTTTTAAACTTTGTTTAGTTGTTTAACCCTTCCAATTTCGACGCTGGCAGTTAAAGAGGCACTACTGAGTAAGTTTAAGTCTGCAATTCATGCTTTAACATTTTACCTCCATTAATCACTTGCAAGGTGTTTAATCCTTTTCTTCATAAAAAGGCAACGGTGGGCAGTGAAATATTCTTATAGCCAGACAGTTGTATTTCTACAATGGACGGAAGACCATATCCGGGAAAAAAATTTTTGTTCAAAAAAATACGAATATGGGTGGACGGCGTCGTAGTCAATGACATAGTTACATTTTTGGAAGAAAATAATTAACGAAATGAATTCTACATAGAAAAAGAAGATTCTAGTATTTAGGTACAAATAACAAGACCATCAAACAGGGGCACCCAACGAGAATGTAGTTCAAAACCACTTAAACTAGCACCGTTAAACGTATTTTAGTATTTAAACGGTAGATATAGGCTATTTTTATCCCCTAAAAATTTTTCATCTGTTCGGATTTCCTTGCGGAAAGTCTAGTGATCCGAAAATTATAGGGATCAAAACTTACCTTTTCGAAAATTTCAGCCAGATAAAAGGCTCCCTAAAATTCTAGGTTACCTTTTAGGGTAAAAATCCGTTAAAAATGGGCAATTATACCATTTTTGAGGAGCTCGAAAATCCTAGGAGAGGTAGGCAAGCAAGAAATTTCACAACAAATGTTCCGAAAATTCTAGATCTCAATTCGTCTTCCGAACAGATATTTTCCAAAAATCGTCGTTTGGTGCCCCTGATCAAACGGTGCCACTATTGAATGGTCCTTGCATAGATTACTCGGTTGCAGCCATCCTGAACACCTTCTTCTATGCGTTCTTTTGACCACTTATACGCCTAAAATCTGGAGCAAATAATTCAAATAGCATACCAAATTGTGTCAGCTTCTGGTAGCCTGAATATCTTGACATCATGAAGTATCCTTTGCGATAAATAACTGCTACCGGCTATGTTAAATAATTGAATTAAACACACGGCATAAGTTCGTTTATATATCTTTATGACTTGCTTGATTTCACTCAAGTAGCTGTGATTATGGCAGTGTGGTAGGTAGACTAGACATATCCGGAGATTCGAAAGTTGGTTTGCTTTCGAACCGTAACATCAAACTGCAGTTTAGTTTGCTTTTAACATATGGAAATGTAGGCGTTGCGCGACGTTACAAAGAAACGCTGTGCAGGAGGTAATTTTGATGAAAAAAGGGCTCATTTCAGCGTAAGTTCGAAAGTGCAGTCGGTGGGTCACTCCATGAAAATGAAAGCTCAGGCACTATGGAGCATATACCAGTGATTAGAAACAAGGATGTGAAAGAAGTGTTGCCAGATAAATGATTTCAGATCTCGGTAGCTGATTATTTTTCAAATGCTGCGTTTAATACTTTCGAAAGATTTCTCGATATCGTTTTCGCTCATCGTTTACATACTTAGGCGGTTCAACAGCGTAGAAGGGGGGGGGAGGACACTGGTGAGAGGCGGAAGGAGAGAGGGCGGGAGGTAGGAGTTCTGAGAAGATGGGAAGCGGGAGGAATATGAGAATATTACACAACAAGCAACAATACTTATATTTCTCAACCGAAAAAGAGCTACAAGGAGAATAGAATTCAAGGTGTGCAAGGCGGGACAATTGTACCCCCCTGTCACCACCCTCTCCCCCATCGTCCTTTGGATGTTGATGACAAAAATAGCAAAGTGTGCATTCATCAAAGTCCAAACTGATAAAGGCTGAGCGACTGATGCAGCCAAAATATTTGATTCCTCAAAATTCGAGAAGCACTCCTGTTCCCTGCCTCGGATTATCATTTCCCTGTCCAATCATAGCGAAGAGGGAATTCCCAGTCATTTTCCTGTGTTCTTACATCGTCGTCCGTTGAGGATTTTCAGAGGTGTTTTCTATAACGGGGTATAAATTGTGGATCACGGCTTTATCTTCTTCTTAAAATTGTTGCTGATTATGAAGAAGCATTTATTTGATGTATAAGTCGAACAAATAAAGAAATATCTTTTTAAAAAGACAGGGCTATGTCAATTTACAAACTTTATAGAACGGAGTATAAAAAATTGGCCCATTTCTAGAAGGGGGTATCAGTTTTAGGGCGAATTCTAGAACGGGGTATGAAAAATTGGCCAATTTCTAGAACGGGGTATCAATTTTAGGGAAAATATTTTTTAGAACGGGGTGCCAATTTGGAGTCCCGGGCGGCACATCCCCACCCAAAAAATACCCAAGTGCCCCCCCGGGGGTGGATACAAAGGCATAGTTTCTGAATGCTCTCAAGCTGCATCCTTTGCCTTGTTTTCGTGATTCATGGTAAAATAAAAATAATAAAAATAAAGGACTTTATTATTTTTTAAGCGAAAATACATGCTAAAACCAAGAACACTTCAATTAACAATAGCAGAAAGAATTACAAGGATTAAAAAAATCCATGTGGAAGCATTGAATTTAATATTCAAGATCCATGTTACATTAAATAGCTACTCTATATTTGACAAATAGCCTATTAAAAAAACCTATTTTTAAAACGCTGGGTATTAACCCTAGAGAGTTGACTGCTAGGAACTCGGAAGCGCGCTGAACTTTCTTTCGTTTTGGGGACGGAAGGGTAGAGAGGGTGACCTGGCATACTGGAGATCTTCTTGAATAGTGAGCGATCTACCTCTTCTAATACGTTACATATATATGTCAATTTGGTACGAAATGTATTTGCGTTTAAAGCAGCGCTGTAGAAAATTCTGGACCGTTGTTAATTGAGGTATTGAGGAGCTGTATACAGGAAGACCGTACGTTAGTTGATCTAAAAACGTAGTCTACATCTCGTTGTAGGTGTTCCTCTTTGCCTAAACATCTTATACCATAAAGACACTTATTGGCCTCCTGCAGCTTAACCTTAATATGTTCATTAAATCGGTGATTACTTTGTAAAGTAAACCTTAACACTTTTAAACAAGAAACTTGCATTATATTGTTCACAGGGTCTATATCATGAGCAACCTTCTTGCAAAGTATCAGTTCATTGCATTGGGATTACATGCCATGGCATTATCTTGAGTCCAACGGAAAAACTGATTGACAACCTCTTGAGAAAGATCTATTTCATTTTACATACTTTGACTAGCAAAGTGGTGTCGTCAGCATATTTAACTATGCTGGTAAGGTCATTATCCCTAATGGCCAAATCGTTAATAAACAAATTAAAAAAATGGGACCCACTTATACTTCCCTGGGTTGTTCCCTTGTTCACATTATGTCATTTGTAGATAACAACCTTAAATATTAGTCTTTGTTTCCTATCCATTAGAAAGCTTAGATATACCAGTTAACAAGATATGGATTAGTTGAAGAGCCTTTAGTTTTGCTGAGTGTTTCACATTATCAAAGACTTTTGAAAAAACCATTGCAAAAAGCCTAACATAGTTACAATACTTATCATCAGGTGCCTTTTTAACAATTATAACTATTCGTTCAAAATATTTCCCCAATTCTGATTGGCTAAAAGCAAACATTTAATTCACGTTAACCAGTTACTGATGACCAAATTTGGAAGAATTTGTGTTTAGCGAGGAAATGACGTCAAAAATGCAGCGTTTTTGCAGGTTAATGCACCGTTAACCGAGGGGACGAGGTTGAGTTGAAACCAAAATGGCGGACATTTTGGGCGAAATAATAGCTAAAAACATAGCAAGAACAGAAAGAAGACAACTCGAAGGGCGACATCGATCTGCTATTTGGAGAATATTTGCGTAGCTGAACAACCCTAAACGTGCACTATCGAAGATGACTTTAACATTGATGAATCGATGGAGGTGAGCATGTTTTAGCTAAGTCTATGTTTTTAAACTAGGAATTATTATGAATGAATAATAAAACAATTATTGAATTCGGCTTTCGTATCATATGAAGAAATATGGGGATCTCGGAGGGTGTTTTCCGCCTCGGCCTACGTCCTCGACGGATAACACCCTCCTCGATCTCTATAATTCTTCATAAGATACTCAGCCTCATTCATTAATTCTTAATTATTCCTTGAGCCCGAATGGGCTCTTAGTCAATAGCCCATGAGGCCGAAGACCGAATGGGCTATTGACTCAGAAGCCATGAGGGTGAGAGGAATAATTGTTTTAGTAAAGTCCAACTAGTTGGTCAAAAATATCGAGACAAAACAACTTTAGCTAGCAAAACGCGATTCAGCCGCCATTGTTTTGGTTTTCAAAACTGGCGCTTTTCGCTACTAGTGAGCTATAACATATTGCCTAGTAGTAGCTCAACCAATCAGAACGCAGCATTGATAATAGACAACTAGTTGGATTTTACTAAAAGTAATTATTAAAATTATTGAAATACTGTATTTGAGTCAAGGTGTCCGTACAGCTGCAACCCGCCCTATACGTATATTGGGTGACCGTCAGATTTTCCTCAAAGACTTTCTTACTGTAATGATGGTATACAAATGGTTGACGAAGTGAAGAGTTCATCGAACTTACAAAGTACTCTTTAGAAGAAAAATAGTGATGTTTTTATTGTTTCATCTTTCAATTGGATTTTAGGTTTATCTATAGGGTGTGTTCCTTTGGGATGATCCGGGTCAGGATCAGTGATCCGAGATCAGAAGGTGTATGCTGTAACTTCAAAACAGTGAAATCTGGCGTTCCTCAAGGCTCACTATTGGGGCCGTTGCTGTTCAACATTTTCATTAATGACTTGAATTTTTGTGTCCCTAATGTCTCATTGCGGCTGTATGCTGATGAAACGACTGCCCACCTGTCAGATGTATCTCCCACCATTCTAGAATTTTCTTTCAACAAAGATCTACAGACTCTTTCGTCGTGGTTGGAGTCTAACCGTTTAACAGAGAACAGTACTAAGACTCAAGCAATATCTGTCAGACCCTGTGACTATCATTATTCCTTATTTCTTAATATTTCTCCAATCTATTAAGATTCTTGGAATCAATCTAGACAAGGACCTATCCCATAAAGAACACATATCAGATCAACTAAAGAAAGCCTACGCGAAGGCCTCTGCGATGAGAAGATTAAGGCGTTTTCTTCCTCATGATGCAATGAAAAAGCATTTATATTACCTCATCCAGAATACTGCAGTCCTTTATTTGTAGGCGCAGGTACAGGTCAACGCAACCGTCTCGAAGAAGGCAACTGCTATATTTTGAGAACATTAATCTGGCACAACAAGTCAATGTCATACGACGAGCTGCTCACTACGGCTAGCATGACATCTTTATATTGTAGGCGCTTACACCAGGCGTTAATACTTCTTTTAAATTTAAATGGTACGGGACCTACTTATATTGGAAACCTTTTTAAATATAGGCATACACCGTATGGGCTAAGAAGCGAGGGCTTGAATTTGGAATTACCTAACTTTAATCTTAAACGTAAGAAGAATTCTTTCACTTAATCATTAACCAAGTTATGGAACAGCTTGCCCTCTCAAGTGCGTCTTTCAGGTGATGCTAATGACTTCAAAAGTAAAATACACGATTGCAGCTTTTTAGAACGTGTCCCATAGTGCACGATTGTAGCTTTTTAGAACGTGTATTATAGTTTTCCAGTCACACGTTTTTTGTAAAAAGCTTTTTAGTAGGTTTTAGCTTTTTATATTTTATATTTTTATTACTACGTTTTTGTATATTTATTGAGTTGTTTTTAAAATTGAATAAGATTATAACATAGCTGTAATTATTATAGATTTTATTTATACACGTTCGTATTTTGAACGAGGTTTCTAGCTCCTCGACGTAACGTGGCAAAATAAATGATTGATTGATTGATTGACTGATTGATTGATTGACATGCACTAAATCAAAGGAGCCAAAGAATCCTTCCTGGGAAGGGTTTTATCGGTTCATGCACTATGATTCGTCCGAGTGATCACGGATCAAGGACCACTGATCCTAATCCGGATCATCCCAAAGGAACACACCCATATAACTCGTTCAGTGGCCCCTTATAGGCTATTTGCTCAATGGCGTGAATTTACCACCACGACCAGAATCCTTTTCGTCTTTCCTTTCATATTTAGATTTGGTTATCTCAAGAGGTTTAAATAACAAAAGCCCTAATTTGCACAAGAAAGAAAAACCCAGGAGGATTCTAGTCGTAGTAGTAAAATGACATCATCGTACAACTGGCCTTTTTAGTTGCACATTTTGATCGAGAGAGTAGGTCTCGAGAGGGTAGGTCTCAGTCTTAGTATCGAGAGGTGAGTAGGTCTCAGCACTGAGGTCCACATCAGCCTCTGGCTGCCTTTAATCCAACCTGCTATATCAAATAAAGCATGTATGTATTATGTATGTATGAGTCATGACCGATATCTAGACTTCAGTTCAATAAAAACAATAGAATAAAGAAAAAGAACAAAACAAAACATTAATAACAACACAACAAAACGTATTTTTATAATTAAGAAATAGTTGTCTGATTCTTTTCCCTTTTGTTTATTGCACGTTATATTCACATTGGGTAATCTCACATAAACATTAAAACTCAACAGTTTAACACAGCCTTTGTATCTGAGCTATTCACCGCTGCTGTATTAATTTCCCTCTTAAGCTGTCTTCAATTATTATCAGGCAATGCATCTACTTACTTTTAAACAAAGAGTCTCTTTAAAATATTCAGAACTGTTTTTTTTTTCCTTAGTTTTTTGATTCTTTATTAACTCTTAGCTTTTATCGTTCACCGCATCAAACGATTTCACTTTAGTAGGATTTACATATCAGAAGCCTTTGTAATTCGGGGTAATATCTGACTGATTGATACCGTTTCCAGCCCGCGTGGGGCGCATCTTGGTGATAGTAAACAGCCGTGCAGTTGTTATTAACAGCAAATATATAAGGTCCGCACAGTCCTTTTACATTGGCAGACAACTTGAGTAATCCTCCATATGCACAGCGATCCACGTTTAAATAATAGTGATAATTTCCGCCCCAAGCTCCTGAAAGAGAAATACAGACTGGGTTAGTTGTTTCTCTACTTACGGCGACGGAAACCATTTTTGGGCCATGGTGCTTTGAATCACCACCGAGAAAACAGTTTGCTTAGCGATATTTTGTGCAAATTACTGAAGCATATAGCGAATGCACAGTTATAGGAATATCTGGGAAAGCCAGACGTTTGAACATTAATAAAAAATTTACTAAAAAAGTTTACGGTCTCAAGACCTTCATCAGTTCCAAAAGAGTGCCCATGAATACAAAAATACAGTAATTTATTGACAAGGACTATTGAAAGAGTACATAACAAACTGAAACGCACTGAGAACTAACATGAAATTACAACATAAGATACTAATGAATTACAAACAAAACGAGAATAACTTATTGAAAATTACGTAACCAGCTGAGGGGCAAAAGAAGAGAAATCACCACTGCAAGATAAGAATATTTAGTATATACTAAAACAGTGGATGGTGTTTTTCGCGCGCTCTGATTGGCTACTCAATCAGTGAGTGCCCTGCACTATTCACTGATTCACCTCCAGTTCCTCCAAGCGAGCGACACCAAACTCGCTAAGTTGCGAGCGAAATGCCTTCTCGGTTTGTTGCCGTAACAAACAAAGAAATAATCAAGCAAGCGGTTGCCGAAATACACAAAGAAGGTGACCAAGTTCGGTTTTGAAGTTTTAATCATTAGGTAACGCTTTTTCTTTTTGACTTGAACTTATCGATGAAACCGGTGAAAAAGTTTTTTGTTGACAAATGCAAATTAAGCTCTTGTGTTACTTTATCTAGTTGACTTGTTCATAAATAACCTTAAAACTAAATTTAACAATCTTTTTTACAGAATGATTTTAAATACAAAAAGAATTCACAACTACTTTGGAAGAAATTTATCCGCCTTCAAAAGTTTTATTTGTTGGCAAGAAAAAGCGACGGCCACGGTCACGGCCTTTGAGTCATTGCGCGCCAAATTGTAATCGTTGGCAACAGCAAACGAGTTACTAAAACAATTTTTCGCCTCAGTGTCGGTGGCTATTCTCAGGTTACCTAATTTTAATATGCTCTTTCAGCTTGTGCTAACAAAATTGTTCAAAAGTGAACTGTTTTCGTGTTTACCGAAAGTTGATCACGTGGTCAAGTCATGCAAATAGCCTATTCACACCCTTTTCCGGGGGAAGCAATAAAGAAATGGTTAAAAAGATCGTAATGAGGAAAAGTCTGTTCTCTTGTTGAAACTAAGCAGTTACTTACTAATGGGGGAGACGTCATTCAAATAGGTGGACAACTTCCGTTTCAGATCTTTCCACGCAAATTCAATTCCGTGAACAGTGCAACGCTGATAAGATTCACAAACAAAGAAACAAAAAATTATTAGAAAGTGATCATTAATAATAACGAAGAAATGAATCAGGCAGCTGGCCGCATTCTTTTGCAAACCTGAACCCTAGAACACGCTGGTTGTTTACCATTTATAAAAAAATTCCGGAAATTTTGGTTGGGAATTTTCTATCGGTAAGAACGGTACGTGTCGTTTCTCATTTGCCTAAAATTTCCGGATTGTCGCGCCGCCCTAGACTGGATGCTAGTTACAACATGAAACTGGTGCGAAACTCAAGAAACTTGTAAATGGTAAACGAATTTCCATTGGGAACGTCCCAATCGGGAGAACGGGACTACCTTTTCAGAATTTCGGTTTGTTCAGGGAATTTTTTAGTGGGAGGAACCAAAAAAATCGTTTACCATTTACATCCCAACCGGAATTTTTGGGAATTTGTGGTAAATGGTAAACAACCGTTATTTCCTCCTTTCGGAGGGGTTTTTATGGTGGCCTTCCTTGAGCCCGTGGAAAAGGAGAGATCAGGGCACGCTTCCCACAGAGCCTTTCTTTCGTTTGCTCGAATTTTGGGTATTCGAGAAAGACTCTGCTTAAATCGAAAAAGATATCTGTTGAGCATGCGCTGCATGTTGCTCCGATACACAGCCAACAAGGGTTCAGACCAAGATACGTATTTAATTATCCACTTTCACTCTACTATTCTATGCACAAAAAGATAGATTTACATCAAATTAGGGCGAATTTCTGACATACTCGCATACTACTCTCAGTCCCTGAGAGGGAAATGCAACTCGAAGAGATGTCTGAAATTCAGGCTAACATCAAATTATGAAGTAAAAAAGTGCAAACTACGAGAAAAATCCAGGGCAAAGATGGCAAATACCGCCTTTGCCCCTGAATTTACAATCCTATGTAAACTAGGATGACATGCGCGCGGTATTTACCATTTCAGCCATTAATTTCCTCTTAGTTTGCACTATGTATTTTGCACCATATCAGCCAGTTTCCCCGAGAAATTTTGATGTCTATCGTATCGTATAGCACGTACTTGACTCTTCCATTACCTGAGTTATGTCACCGTAAGGAATAAAAGTAAAAGACGAAGTGCTATGAAGAGAATCCATTGTACAAATAATGTATCGCGATGCGTCTGGGCAGCGGCATTCCACAAGGAAGACTAAAGCCAAGCCAAGAATGAAAACATTAAGCGGCATGATTCCTACAAAAAATGGAACAAGTATTTGCAGATAACACTTTAAGCTGTGTGCACTTTTCTGGCAGTCTAAATATTACGACGGTACAACATGAAGAATTAAAACACTGCTATACTCACTATTATTCACTTTCTGAAGCTTGCGTGATTTAGGAGACATACGACATACTTGTATTCACCGTCACTGTATGGCTTGTTTGAAGCCACCCAATTTAGGGGCTGTTTATATTATACCGGAATGACTTTCATTCTGGAATGAGTTTCGTTCCAGAGTGAAGTTCGTAAGGCGTTGTCGCTTACCTTATTTTCGCGTTAGGTCAGATACGCACGCATGCTCGAGTCGCCCTAGACTCTGGGACGAAGTTCGTTTTCAGTTCACATCAGGATACCAGAATGAAATTTCCTACCAGAAGGGGCCGGGAATTTCATTCGGAATGAAAACGGGAATGGGTACTCCGGATTTCAAGTGACAGAGATTATCGAATGGGGCCAAAAATCAAAACCCAAAAGTCCTTAGAGCTTCCAACAAAACCCGAAAAAATCCTTGGACCAAAATTTAACCCCCAAAAAATCCCATGCTGAATTTCTGAGCCTTAATGAAAGGAAAACAAGTTTGGTTGTACTACATCGCAGAACGGCGCCCGGGATAGGCGGGCACTATCACGAATCTTCAGATTGTTATGAATAGAGGGTCTCAATGGGGTGGTGGCTTTTACGGTTATCGGCTAAAATTTTGGCTCTTTTACGGGTATCGGTTAATTTTTTTCAGTTACGGTTAACAAAAAAGTTAAAAATTAACTTCTTTTGTTTCAAAAAGTTAAATATTAATTAAACTGTATCTTTTGTACCTTTCAGTCAAAATAAAGGTCTTCGGATTATCTTGGGATGAAACAAGCTATTCTTTTAAAAAATTTTAACATTTGATAGATCATACTTTTCACAAAGTATTTCACTTCTAATATTATTTTACACATAGAAATGTCAATAGTCAATTTAAAAATAATCTGTGTGAAAAAGCAAAAGCGAACACGCAAACGCCCAACTCAAGGCCGGGGAGCGACATTCATTATAACAGAAATGGCCGTTTTCACACTAGAGACGGATTATTTGTGTGAGACGGGTTATCCGTTTGATGATTCGCGTCAGATAGGTAATACTTCTTAATTTGAAAATGGAATAGTTTTAATTTTGAATGAACAATCCGCCTGACGTTATCCGTCAATTTCGACGGACAGTTTGACGACGGGATTGTCCGTTCCAGATGGTCAGCACTTTTTAACATCTGTCGAAAGGCCCTTGGACACCTTATGAAGTTTACACAACGTAGTATTCCTTATCGTTTCGAATTGGCCGGTTAGGCACTGCCTAACCTTACTGATTAGGGTTAAGCACTGCCTCTACTGATTAGGGTTAAGCACTTCCTTTACTGATTAGGGTTCAGCACTGTTTCGAAACTGGTTCCTAGTGGTTAGTGGATGGTCAGTGTTGAGTAGTGGAAATTTAGGTCATGAGTTCGAATCCTCTTGCCCTTCATATCAATTTTTTTTCTTTTTAAATTGAAGAGACTTGCACTTTAATAAATGATTTCCAGCTTGAAATATCATCTACCTTGTGTAAAAATCGTAAGGGGAGAAAGGGCCTTTCGACGGATGTTAACGAGTGCTGAGCGTTCCAAATAGCCTGTGTACAGCCGCCCCCTCTCCTCAGAAAAAATCGGAGACGGAGTGTCTGTGGGGAGGGCAAGACTGTACACACGCTAGTCTCAGACGGATAATCCATTTCTAGCTCTAGCGTGAAAACGGCCAATAACAAAATTCCCGTGTCCAGTGTTTTTAATGATATCGAAGGATTGTACGGAACGACTGTCTACGTTGCCTTGTCCGTAGGCCTCAGTTCCCCGAGGCTAAGGAACAGTTTCTTTTACGGTTAACGGTTAAAATTTTTCAATTTTTACGGCTATCGTCTAAATTTTTGGCCGTTTTTCGCCTATATCGCTTAACCCCATTGAGACCCTCTGAATAACCCAAAAAACCCCTACTTAATCATGCCACCCAAAACAATACTTGCTAAATTTCCATTTCTTACCCAAAAAAATCCCGCAATCGAAAACAGTCCAAAAAATCCTTCGATCATCCCTGAAACTTGAAATTCGAATTCCGAAACCCCTTCCTACCTCCGTTTAGTACTCCCTACTGAAATTTTTTCATATCTTCTTCATATCTTTACCCGCAGTATTTTGTGTGTGGGCAAATGCACCAAGCTAAGTAAAGACTTAAACACAGAATTTAGCTCAACGGGACATATAGTCCCCTCTAAAGGCATGCAACATGATGCTTAACCCTGCCAGTTTGCAACGTGTGTGTGTGTCGACAGGCTAAGTCCTTTGCTCTGTAGTTGGTTAACGGCTTTCATTCTGTTTAACTTACTTATAATGTACGGACGACAGAACCGGTCTATCTGGACTGATTACATGTAGTCCCCCATTTCCCCCTAAAATAGTCGTGATTGATTCCCTGTTGTAATGAGCGGCCATCTTGTTCTTGCCCCCCCCGCCTGCACAGGTTGATTTGATACTCCTGAAACAAGAGCTCTTGTCCTGAAACCAAGATGGCTGTCCGTTATGGCAAGCACTTGATCTCGACAATCTTGCGGACTGGAAGAATACGTCCGACCTGACCTAAATCGGTCGGTATTTTCTAGCGACGCACGTGAACCCAAAGTGAACATTTTGCTTTATTGGGCAGTGATTTTGCCTAGAATTGTGTTTATCCAGAGTAACGACACTTAAGGCAAGCCATCTTATTATCCTTTCGGCGTCGCCGCTCATTTGCGCGCTTATCAAACAAAACCGCCAGCTACGTAGGTTGCCATTCGGTGCGTTCTATGAATCAGATTATATCATGAAGGGCGAGATTAAAGTCTTACCATTAGCCTGTTCCAGGCTAAGAGATGGTAGGGTCCGCGTGAGAAAGCGCGAAGACGAAAATAAAACAGGAGGAAGTGATATTTTTGCGTGCCTTTTACTTACGCGTCATGCTCACTATCTGAGTGCCTGGAACAGGCTATCTTACCATGGTTTACTTCACTTCCCAAAAAGCAATAAAAATGAATTTATTTTAGTAGTTTCGTTTTTTTTTTACATTTAACCGTAAATTTAAAGGTTCATTAGAATCTAAAACTGTAAACGTTGTGCCTCTGAGCTTGCTACTTATAACTAGAAGTATTATCAGTACATCTCAACATTTCATATTACAGCCTATCTATCATGATGTTCCACTATTGACTTAACCGTAGGAAGTCAGTTGTTCAAAAGAATGTTTTCACATGACGTCACAGCGGCCATGGTGGTGTCCCAAACCAGTCCTTTGGGAGTTGAACTCTTTTCTCATGCAAACGCTTTCTATTGTTCCAATAAATTTGCAAAGCTGCTGGCCACGTCAGTGAATACGCTCTACAGAACGTCTTTACTCACGTGGCCAGCAGCTATGCAAATCTATGGAAACAAAAGAGTGTGTTTCTTACAAAAGAAATAGGGATTACACTAATTAAAATTAAACACTAATTAAAGCTACGTGCAAGCGGACGCAACAACTCCCAACATTGTTGCGTCAACAATGTTGCGTTTTGTTGCGGCCGTGTTACAGTAGTGTGCAAACGGATGCAACAACTCCCAACAACATGCAACAAAGTGTCAGTGTGCAAGCGGACGCAATATGTAGCATCCAACAATGTTGGGAGTTGTTGACCAACAATGGCTAAACCCCGTGCAAAAGGACGTAACATTGTTGGCCAACAACTCCCAACATTGTTGATGTTACATGTAGCGTTCGTTTGCACATCCTGTTGCATGTTGTTGCCTGTAGTTGGGAGTTATTGTGCAAAGTTTGAAATCAGACAAACTCAGTTTTAGCTGCGTGCAAAAGAACGAAAGAACTCCCAAAAACTGTTGGCTGTAGCTTAATATGGATGCCGTTTTATTATGCCGTTACACCAATATAGCGGACGTGATGTCATGCGAAAACAGTCCAAGGCATTTTTTGATAACTTTTACTTACAAAACAAGAAAATTGATTGGCTACCACACAGCCGTAAAACATAAATATGGTGCACATTGTTACCTTTGAGTACGGTGCAAAAAAAGAAATAATAATAATAAAATAAAATAACAGCTGTTTCGAGATTCTAGAAATAGCCCATATATACATTATACTAAGTTGCCTGATTGATAAATGCTACGTAAATTATTTATCCTTTCCGGCTAATTAGCTATTTGAATAGGCGCATCAGCTACAATGTGAGACTAATTTTCGACGTAATATATGTATGTCAGGAGTCAACCTGAACTCTTTCGCTTTAGCTAACACGTGGTGATCTCAACTCAAACTCCCTTTGATCTTTCAGATGTTGACTGACTACATCTGTTGACATAGGCCACAAGGATTAGAGCTGACAACCACTATTGTTCTACATCTGAGTTAAAGGTTCATTACAGCCTAAGGAAAAATACATTACTTTATATGTCGCGCCTTGAACAAGAACGCCATACCTTTTAATGCAATTTAGCTTAAAGTGTTAGCCAGGATGTTCTTTTTTTGTTTTCTTAACATAAGAAAGATAGCAATTATCATTCAATAAAAATATTGCGATCCTTGGTAAGCGACGCTGTCTGACTGCGTGCATTTATGTATAAAAAGTACCAACTAAAGAAATTGTCTTCCCGTGTTGCAGTGCTGATAAGACTTGTATATGCACCATCAACTATAAACTTTCAAAAAGGGTAAAACTCATGATAAGGCAACACCTATCATCTACAAAACTAGTCTGAGAAAACAGCCGACATTTCCCGAGAAATGACGTCTGAGAAACAAGCGCAGAAATTCCATACTGATGACGTGTCACTACACAGATCCAGGTACTACTTCTGATTGGATTAAGCATGAATTTATCCAGTCAAAAGCACTACCCAGATCTGGGTAGTGACGTGTCATCGGTATGGAATTTCTGCGCTCGTTTAGCAGACGTCATTTCGTGGGGAAACCAGTGGTGGCGTCGCCGCGAAATGTCTGTTGTTTCCTACGGGCTAAGTCAATTTTAGAATCCTACAGTAATACTGCACTCTTACGGCTCGATCATGGTACTGAAGATTAATGCTTAGTCTAAGTCAAAGGTCTGCCTAAGACGGCCCCGCACAAAGATAGAGCGACTTTCGTTTGATCAGAGTTTGCACTTGAAATAATTACTCACGAACTTAACTAGAATAAGAAAGAAACAAGGTCATAAGAATTTGATTGGTTTAACGAACAACAGGGTTGCCACTCATCAGAAAGATAAAAATTCCCTGACTTTTCACTGACAGTTTTCACTGACCTTTTATTAACGAGAAACAATCCATGTTTACCTTCACTTTAGCTTTTTCTGCAGGCCATCGATAGTTTTCTCTTCATTTTCAACCTCTTTCCGCCAGGAAGAAGGAATTTGGAAAAAAAGCATTGACAAGAAAACCACTGACCACAACTACTACACGTCTCAGAAGTAGTGTCAAATTGCTTGGCTTGGCTTGGCTTGCTTTGCGGCATACTTTTCGTATTTTCCGATAGAAAATGTATTTCAAAATCTTGAAGAAAACTTATGAACTATAAACCGGAAAACAGAATTCCTGACTTTTCACTGACTTTGACGATCAAAGATTTTCCCTGACTTTTCCGCGACCTTGAAAAATTTTCGTTTTCCCCTGACTTTTCCCTGACCGTGGCAACCCTGAACAAACACAAACGTATGTGGGTTTTAGTTAGATTGGCGGACACAGAAACGCTTCTCGGCTGAAAATAAGATTTCAGAAAAGTAATTTTCCACAACGTGGTCGAAGAGAATTGGGCTTCCGTTTTCACAATCGCACGAAATCTCTTTCGTCCAGGGATTCTTTGGCGGCAAGGAAATGATTCCTTGACCTTTTAGCCGATAAAACAAGCGAGAAGACTCATGGAAACCATTTTTTAGGGTCAAACGAAAATCGCTCTAATTTGCAAGTACCAATGGGGCTTAAAGCAGTCGGCACGCGGAAGGCTTCTTCGAGACATACTCGACGCCACGGGACTCCCTGGTACGTGTCGTAAATAGTTACCAGAAAAAATTGCTTCGTGTCAGACGAATTCACTTTCTGGTTTACATGTCAGACGCTTCTGCAATTCGGGGTAATGTTTGACTGATTGATACCGTTTCCAGCCCTCGAGTGGCGCATCTTGGTAGTAGTAAACAGCTGTGCAGTTGGGATTAACGGCAAAAATAATAGGTCCGCAAATTTGTTTGTTATTGGAAATGCCTCGTACAGTAGCAGACAACTTCAGTGATCCTCCATAAGCACAGCGATCCACGTTTAAATAATAGTGGTACTTTCCCAAAGTCCCTAAAAGACAAATAAAACAAGGATCAAATTACAAGTTTGTTCAATGCTATATCATTTGGTGTTATGGGTCCTTCAGTGACACCCCTATATCTATGGGAAAGCGATCCAATAAAAGTGACGCACCTACGGAGGGTGCCCCGAGGGTTCTTATCCTAGCGTAATCACAAGCCAAATTTCGGGCCATCCCGTACATCCCGATGGTTAATTATTTTTGGCATCTCACCTGTCGCGCCTACTTTCAATCAATGTCGCCTTGACTTTGCTTTAAAATCCCGAGTCTCGAGCTTTCAATAAAGGAAATCCCATATCCAGAAAAAACCTATTGGGGATCCTCTCTACGTTGTAGCAAAAATATTTTTTCCCATCTTGGCGAGGCCTTAATTTGTGGCCGAGTGTAGTCAGCGCGCGGGCCGAAAGTGAAGCCCTATGTAAACGGAGGTTTGTCGTTTTAGTGTGGAAAGGCAAAATCGTTGACGTTTCAGCTGAGCACACTCATGTGGTGGTCGGTAAAAAGGAGCATTGTTCACGCCGTTAAAGTAAGAGTGCACCGAGTAGTGCACACGTCCAAAATAGCCAGGGAACGAAAACGTACCGTCAATAATGCCGGTGTTTTTGATGTTTACAGTATTAGTGAGAGCCAATTATACGGGGCCTGAATTTCCGCCGAAAACAGGATACAGTCATCGTTTGTCTAAAAGCTTGTGTACAGAACTTCATTTCTGCAGTGGAAAAGTCCATGAAAGATTTTGCTCACACTTCAGTTCTTAGTAGTTGTACCTTGCAGACTGGTATTATTCTAAAGTTTTTACCACATGCTTAATTGATTCAAGACTTCACCGTCATAGCCAAAGGGTTAAAAAGAACCTTTTGCCGAGGGAAAACTTCATTTGAAAGTTAACTTTGTATAAATTCAAGAATACCACTATATAGAATGATACTTACATGTTCTATTAGGGGCAATATTATCCAATTCTGGGGACAATTTTCGTTGCAAACCCTCCCATGTAAATTCAATTCCATGAGCAGTGCAACGCTAACAAGACAAACAAATACGATTACTAAACAACTTAGAAAGTGATCACCATTTAAAATGATATGAACCAAACATGCCAAGTTGTTTTGAAATATTGAACTCTCGAATATGTTATTTCCTAGAGTAGAGCCTTTGGAGGGATTTTGAACATGATGAAGGGCTCTATATCTATAAGTTCACTGTATACTTGCGACAGACGTTTTCAGCTGAGTCGCAAAGAGAAGAATCTTTAAATTGTCTTCCAGCTGCTTTTAAGGAATATTAATCATCTTAGGACTCTCATACATAGATGTGATAAATAAAACATTTCTCAAGATGTCCCTCGCGTGTTAAATAAGAAATTTTTGTCTTTTACAAAAGTCGACGAACAAGGAAACTTGACAGCTCTGCAGTTTTGCAATTTCTTCTACCAGCAAGGAACAAACCACTGCTACCAAAAAATACCTGAGCTCTGTCACCAAAAGGAATATAAGTAAAGGTTGCAGTGCCGTCAAGTGAACCTTTTCTGCACAACATGTATCTTAGTGCACTTCCTGGGTAGAGGTATTCCACGAGGAAAAATATGGCCAAACCAATGACAAAAATAAGGACAGTCAACGATAGGCACAGTACTGGAAAAGAAAAGAAAAAAACAGTTATGCATCAGTCAATTCCACCTGCGCCCAGCCCCCTCCCCCCCCCGGGCTGACCCCCGGGCATTAAGCATTTTTTTTGCCTTGGATGGCAAATTCACGGGGGTGGGGACTCTTGAGCTGTCAAATCCCCCGGGGTGGGGACGAAAAAGAGGGCAAATGCCCCGTCCTCCGTCAACACCGCAACATTTTTCATTGCTCGCACAGTCAAATAGTGCCATTTTAAGCATTTTAATGTGCGATTTTTTGTTTCAATTGACTTCTTCCTTTGTAATAGCGCGAGGATTCTAATTAAGACTTCACGCCGCGACGACATGCACCAGTTTATGGTTTTAGTATTGATATAAAATTATTGACGTTAAAATTAATAGAGCGCTGTAAAGTTATATGTTATGAATAGTTTTATAAATATGAAAGGATATTCTTCAATAAAAGAAATTTGATTCAATAACCAAAACACGTTGATTCACATCGATAGCTCCAATTTCGCTACGTAATTCTGGCTTGATAGGCAATTAAGAAATGCATATATACATGTAAAATCGAGAACATGCCTTTACAACCCTCTACAATTTATTCCTGTCCTTGACAGATGAGCCAATCTGCTTTTTTTCCAGTAAAATCTTCTGTGTAGTTATAGTTCTGATAGAAAACCGCGTGCGTGTCAAAAGCTCGGGAATGTCCCGGGGGTTGGCAAATGCCCGGCCCCCGGGCAGTGCAAAATTTGCAAATGCCCCAACCCCGGGACTGACAAGGCGGGAAAATGCCCCGCAGTTGCCCGGGGGGAAGTGGGGGCTGGGCGCAGGTGGAATTGACTGATGCATTATCGATAAAATTGAAGATTGTCACTGAGGGATTCGTTGTCAGCGGTATGTTTTAAAAGCTTAGCTGCCAAGCCAGATTTTAGTAAGTTGCCGCCATGTTAGCTCTTTTATGTTTGGTTCAGTCATCGGATCTTATCACCATTCATCAGCCATTATTAACCGAAAAACGGTAAGAACCTTAAGAACTATAGACAAACGTTATAAATACCATGTAACACATGATCGCGCGTATGCCCTTTCATCTACGGCAGAAGTCTTACTGAAGAATGTGCTAAGTATCCAATTGGCGTCATAAGTTCCACCATTACTATTTTTGTTCAAATTATTTAAACAAGTAAGCCAGAAATGAAAAACGACGATGCCAACACAATCAAAATAGATCGTCCCTTCAGATGAGATGCCGGGCCGACAATGCGGCCCGCAGGCAATTTATACGTTATCCCAGCAATAGGATTGCCCCATCCTGCAACCTATTTTTGTGAGAAAAATTTGAAGCAGGAACAAAAGCCGAAAAAATCAACGCGTATTGTTAAAAGCTTATAAAAGTATTATACAAGCACTGTGATAAGGCGGCAGTTTGGAGCCTTGTGTAAAAGCCTGTCAAACCTAGCTCTTATGAAACATTCGTACTTGGTCTTAAAATTCTTAGATGGGAAGGTCGGTTTTGTTATTCCTGAGCTACTGTGGAATGACCTTTACAAGAAGACACAACTCTGCAAAAACCTTGTTTAACTCTCTCGAGCCCAGTCATCTTTACGATAATAATGTTGTTGTTCAAAGAACAAACTAGCTACAGATTGAAACAGTTTAAGCGGGTGAGTTGTATCCCTAGAAAGTATTGAGGAACTTTGTTGTCGTGCTGGCTAAACCTCTCACATCTTATCAGATACTGTAAGTTGTATGAGCCACTAATTATTTGGAAATATCAAGTAAGAGCCACGAAAATAAATTTAATGTCAAAGCAATTATAAGCAGACAAACTTCGAAGACGGAGGAAAGCCCTTTATCGCGGCACTGCTCGGTTTCTAATATATTTCTACCGATGTTAAGGGAAGTTCGTTCCGAGATCTTGAAGCCCCTTCACATTTCCACAAGTAAAAGGACAAAGTTTTCTTATGATATTTTTCTATGACGGCAGAAATAATGACATCGAGTAAAGAAAACATGATTCTTACTCAACGGATTTACAAAAGGAAACAACAACAAGAAAAACAAACAAACAAACAAAGCCTCAGGTTAATAGACTAGAAGAATAGAAAATGCGGAAGAAACCCAACTTAGCGAAGCACTTACTTTTTCTGTATCTTTGTCGCTCTTTTCGCAGCTTTACATTCAGATCCATCTCAAACTGATCGTACATGTGTTCTATTTCTGAAGTAATTTGTTTATCGGTGACTCCTAGTACTATACACACAAAGCATTGCACCATGTTCACATCATCAAGTTTAGAAGCTTTCTTCTCTTGCATGGACATGCCCAGTAAAATGCTGCTTCGACTCAGGAGAACGCTGGGTGGCAGGTGAGATTCTGGGATGGCAGTTCCTGGATTCTCGGGATCGACTGTGGCGTATATACGTTCACCAGCACGAACAGAGCCTATGCACTTGACTTGAATTACTCCAATTACACAAACAACGTCTGTGTCATCTAAAAGGAAAAGGGGAACACGAAATTACACAGAAATTGGTGACCTTCTATGTCGATGTTATGACACAGAGCCGAGGATGTATGTATGTGAAATTCACCTGGATTGCCTTGTTTACAAATCAGTCCTGTTTTTTTGTACTGTTGTTGTTTGTATCTTAGGGACTGTTTACATGACACCGGGGCGACTTTCGCGCCTGAGTGAGTTCACTCCGGTTCCCTCTCATGGCTCTACATTTGTTCACATGATACCACCACAAAGTGTCATGCCAGCAAGAGTCACCCCGGCGTGAGTTCACCCCGGTTGTTGTACCGAGGCGAGAATTTCACTCCGGTACGAAATCTCGAAACGGTATCATGTAACGACCACACGTTTCGGCGTGAAATCGGTCTGCCGGTAGACTGGAACGGGTAGCGCATGCGTAATGTTTGCGATTTTGAATCTTATGTGTATTTTATCAACATGAAGTGTACCTTCAAATAACGAGATATGAAATGACCCAGTCATAATGTAAACGCGATACGAAATAAAAAAGTCATCCAGGTATGAAACTCGCGCCGGTGCGAGTTTTCTCATGTAAACACTCCCCTTAGATCCTCTGTGAACTTTTGTGTTGTGACAATTACTGAGAGAATGTAGGTTAGCCAATTAAAACAGCTCAGCCGATGTATGTTTTCTGTTTTCTCAATGGTGGATGTACGTTATAGATAAACTCACGAGTAAACTGAGATGCAAATGTATGACAAAGCTTTCGTTGATCCTGGTGTAAGGATTAAGCGTTCATAGGTATTTTTGATGTTTGGATGCATCCTTGTAATTTTTCCACACAACGCGAAAAAAAGACTAATTATTTTTAAAAATGTTCTTCAGCTATTTATACCTGGATGTTTACTATGTAGCAAAAACGCGTCCTTTGTTATGCATGTCGGGCGCATGCGCATGTGGATACAGGGCAGTTCTTATTCAAAACTGATTAAAAACCGAAGCCGAAGCCAAAGCCAAAGCTAGCCTGCGAACACATCCGTTTTCTCCTCGCACTTCGCCGCTGGGGACGCTTCGCGCGGAGGAACGTCTGCGACTCAGCGACAGAAATTCCATACTGACGACGTAAAATCTGTCCGGAATCCGGTCAGAAGCGCTGATTGGTCGGCGGACTAGTTACATTGTTTTAGTTATTGTTTACGAATGACAGACAAAAGACAAAATGCCACAAAGGTCAAATCTAAACACATTTGTTGAATATAGTCTTCTCTAGAAGAAGCATTTGAGTTTTGCTGGCGCTCGTTGGCAGGTGAACACAACAATTTTCCAAAATCGACCATAAGACACGTAAAATTGGACAAATTTATATTTGGAGCCCCATGACTACCGGATTTATTATGTAAACATTGATTTGCATCATCGGTATGGACTTTATGTCACTGAGTCGCAGACGTTCCTCCGCGCGAAACGTGCCCAGCGGCGAAGAGCGAGGAGAAACGTATGTTTTGGCAGGCTAAGCCAAAGCCATCCTTTTAACCCTTTCGGTAATCGCGAATGAACTCCCCTCTTCCCCCATTCATATTCAGCTGTTGGTTTGCAAAAAGCAAAATTAGAGATTATCGTATGTTTAAAACAAACCGTTTTCATTCATGGGTGGTGTGGCCTCCAGATAAGCTGACCGGCTTATGACTCCTGCCATAAAAGCATCCTTTCCATTTTTGTTATCTAATAGCTGTATACTTGAATGTCCGTCGTCATCCTTGTAGAAACCAACGACATCTCCTTCCTCGAAATCATCACAAGCATTTGGGTCTTTTAATCTGAAGTGATATCCGATGTCCGCTTTCCTATGACCTGCCTCCTGTACCTTGAACGTAAGATGCTCAATGTACGCCCGTTTTGCGTCCAGGTGTTCTATCACTCGAAGGTGTTGGAATTCAGCAGATCCTACAATAGTAATTGATAAAGATAACTATAACGATAATGATAATGATAATGATAAGGATATTTAACACAATGATAATTCCATCTGTTTTCTTCCAATTGTACACCAACCAAAGTAATGATCAATAGAGGAGAGGATTTCAACGTAGTGGATGGTAAATGGGGTATAGCTTGAGTTTAGTACCACGGCAGTTCACTGCTAAGAGCAATGACACGTGTCTAAACTATTCCAGTTTTTATTGGTCAAAATAATTAACATGATAGGAATGCTATTGAACGTCTATTGACTATTTACTGACAGTAAACAACAACATCAACAACTCACCCATGAAGCTAACTGAGCTAGTCGGGCTATCCCCTCTCGGTGAGTCTAGAAATAATTAAAAATAGAATAGAAAGTTAGTGTAAGGTTTTCATTAATGGCGAATAACGTTAGCTTTGTCTTGAACTAATTATAACCGGACTTTCAGGCATGATTGTGAAATGGTAGCGTAGCGAGGTAGTTAAGTGTAGATGTCAGTGAAGAATTGTCAGTGTGATAAAAAAAGAAAAATATTTCGCCATAATAATTAACATAGGTCTTCTGTTTAGTACGACGACAGGCCTGAAGCACAGAAGGCCAAGAATCTAAAGAATGAGCCAATCATTAGTGCCGAAACATGATCGCACCAGGAAATTGAATCGCTACCTTTTCCGTAGGAAAACCAATCAACTAGGTTTACCGTTCAAGCTGCCTCTTTGCACAAAAAATAGTCGCTGACTCAACACTCTTCAGCTCTTTCTCCAGCCATCTTCAATTTTAAGAAAAAATCAGCCGACGTGATCAAACTTACCTTCCTCCTCGTCGCTGCCTCCTAAAATAACAAAAGAGAAAGAAAAATAGGTGAAAATAAAGGAAATTCTAAACTCACTTCCTAATAAGAAATTGGCCAAAGCCGAAAATACCATGATATTCTTTAATTTCCCATTTGGGTGGTGCTTCATGTAAAGCCGACTTTTGCAATACCTTTTGTGCTCTGCACGATTTGCACGTGCAATGCATACACTGCTTGTGTAGTTCATACAAAAAACTTAAGATAATGCACAGGTGAGGTTTACATGAGGCCCCACCCAAACGGCAATTTAAAGAATATTGTGGTATTTTCCGCTTTGGCCAATAGACCTTTTTAGTTTGTATGTTTTGTTTTTCTATTTCAGACCACGTGATGGTTCCCCAGGGAACTGTTTCTTTCAAATGTCATTATATGCACGTGCATATGTATGCATAATTTATGAAAAAACAAAAGACAAATTCCTTGGAGAACATCACGTGGTCTGACTGATTGAGAAAACAAAACTTACAAGCTAAAAAGGTCTATTACAACAGCGCGGAACGTAGCTTATAATCTGAGAAGCCTGAATAGTTCCAAATCCCGTTTACAACTGTAATTTTCTTTTTAACATAAATACTATTCAAATGACATCTCGCTCACGAGAGTTTGGCTCAGTCAAAACATACTCCAATGGGATGGTTCACCACTGTTCTTAAATGCTAAGTTTGAGTTACAAATAAGTACAACGCCATTCATATAAGGTCTCCTCCGAATATCAAAGCTGAAGGAGACTAAAGCCCAGTTACAACGTCTAACTCTTCATCTATCGAACCTAATCCTTCAATTACAATAAGTACATGAAAAAATCGACGCTTGAATCAATTAAGTCTGACCGTCTAATTTGGGCCGACCCATTTATTAAAGTTGAGTGGCCTACATTGGAATTTCGACTGAGGGGCGACATCGTTTCAAACGTTGAACTTTTCACGTGCCCAACATAATGCATAAGTTACTATAATCTATTTTCACCGGTAAACATTGTAGACGGCACGTACATCGTGAAAATGAATTGAGTCCGACTAATTAAGTTCCACTTCTGAATCAACGGTCGAACTGTTATCATTTGGGTCAACCCAAATAGCTAGAACTTAGGTACATGAAAAGTTCGATGTTTGAACTGGGCCTTTTGTCTCGACTTTTCTTGCTTTGAAAAGGCTAGTATGTAATTCAAGTGAATTGCTAGCTCATACATAAGGTTTCTTTTCCAGTTAGTTACTTGCACCAGAATACACTCCCATCCTCTTAGGTTACTGAGACGAGAACACTGGGTTCATACTTACCAGAAAGTTTGCGTTTCTTGTTTTTATTCGCTTGATCATTTCTGGGTCTGCTCCTCATCATGAATGGCTTGCTGTAGAACTGTTGCGTTTCTTCGTCAAGTCCGTTGTGAAACGACAGCTCGACTAGCAACTGAAAAATGTTCCTCTTATCCATTTCCACTTTAGCTAATTGGTACACTGGAGCAAAAGGGCCATCATAAACGGAGTCCAAGTTCACAGAGAAATAATACTGCAAAACAGCAAAGGACCGTAAACAAATGAGAATTGCAATTGGAAATGGGATCCCTTTCATACGTATCTACTGGACAGTGATTCGGTGGATAGCGCTATGCAGCCTTTGAATATTATCGGGGCCAGAAAAGTTTATTGTGATCATGTTCAAAAATAATGCAATGCCAGAAAGCAGCAAGCACCGCCTAACTGTGGGTTTTAGGAAATCTCTTGGGGATCAAATAATAAATTTGCTCTTCAGGAAAGTGTTTCTTGTCTAAGCTTTACTTGTCCTGTTTACCCGTTTCTTAATTGAAAGGTTGTAAGTAGTCCTTCAGTCTTTTGTGCTTACTTAAGTTTGACCAGTTGGGCAGTTGTCAAATTGACGAAATACTGAGAGATGACAAAACAAAACCACGCAGATGCTGTCTCTTCACCGCTGGGGAACACAAGAGGACACTTAAACAGAAAGCCTACTGCAAAGGAAACAAGAATTAATATGGTACCTTTTCGATATCGTGTCTTCCATGAATGACCTGAAGTTCGACGGGTCCGTTTTGATCTTGGTGAAGTTTTGCCGCTGATGGCTCCCGGAATACCCAAACTTTTATTCCCAGGATTTGTCCCACCGGGGAGCGTGCTTCCATGTTCACCATCCCATCTGGAACTCGCTGTTTTGCCACGCCTCCACTCCTGGACTGTACTTTATCAAACACAGTTTTTTCCTCTAACGTCACAAATCGTACTTCTGCTCCACCTTGGAAATCTTCGCTTCCAAAGGACCCGATAGGGAGAGGCAAGGTATCTGGAATAAAAGTTAAAATAGCCTTTTCACAATACAATCTGATTGAAAATCAGAGTGACATTGATTGATAGTCAGAGTATACTACAGCTTCCAAAGAATCCGGTATGGAGAGGCAATGGTATCTAGAGGTCATTTTGGATAAAAATTACAATAGCCATCTCACAATTTGATTCAAAGTCAAAGTAACACCGCCTTCAAATTTTCGCTTCCAAAGGACCCGGTATGGAGAGGTAAGGTATTTACATGCAGGTCATTTGGATAAAAGTTACAATAGCTAGCTTTTTCAGATTTGTTTGAAAGTCATAGTTATATACACCCTCCAAATCGTTGCTTCCAAAGGACCCGATATGGAGCGGTAAGGGATCCACCGGTCATTCGGCTAAAAGTTACAATAGCCACTTCACAATTTGATTGAAAGTCAGAGTAATATTGCCTTCATGTGACAATGTTTAGTCATGTCCCAATTTTGCTGAACGAGTGATATGACTCCTGTACTTAAGTAAGCTGTACAGAAAGCTTAGCACAGGTTCAAACCTTAGAATAGATCGAATGCTCGAAAGCTCTTTGACTGACATCGTAGGAATATGATTGACCGAATAGAGAGACTAGTACGTTTTTGCAAAACAGCCTTGAGGATTGAATAATGAGGTCACCAGTTTAACACACTTGTTACATTTAAAGAATTTATGTATTTGCTGCTTAGTTTAAACAAAACTCTCACATCCGTGCCGTCTCAAATAGAAACAGAATCCTCAAGAGAGAAATATCAGTAGATAGACAGTAAGTGTCAATACAGATACTATTTCGTATTGTTCACACAGTTTTATCAAATATGACAACTTTGTCATCAAGGTCGTTGGTTCAAGTCATGCCACACAGCACTGAAATAAAAATGTACCTGTTCCGGGATATACTGATAAAACTAGAATCTCCTCTCTTACGAGAGCAAAAAAGATGCGTCGTTCCATCAGACAAGTCATGCATTATAAATCAATATAAACAAACGTTTATGACGATTATGGATGATCTAGAGATCGAAGCTGTTTTACCAAACCTCGTCTTACTGTCGGACTGGTTTATTTAACAAACATCCACCTAGCTTCCGCCTTTTTTCTTTTTCCCTTTTGTGCATATGGATATCAAAACGGATGGACCAAATCTTGCCAAAAAGAATCTAGTTTCCTGATTTATTTGCCCCTTTAGCTTGCTACTCCAAAGAGTCACTTTGCCAGGTGATTTGCATATCAGAAACGAAACAAAACAATGTCAAAAAGTACCTAGTTTTTGAATACCGGAATATCTTGACGCCATAATTTATCCTGTGTTGTCATAAAACGAAGCAAACTTGGTACGTGGCAGTTATCATTACATGGCCAGTGGCCTATCAGTGGATCTTACCCACCCAACTTGCCACGCAGCTTGTTTAGTGAATGGGTCAAATGTAAATGAATTTTACAAGAAATTGCAGAGACTGATAAACTTTAAGTTGTTTAAATTTCGTGCCGATTCACCAACTGAAATGTAAGCCAGTACTGTTACAGAATTGCTGCGGGAAAAATGTGCTTGTTGCAGCATTGGCGGACCGAACGCAACTCTAGCCTGCGAGCAAGCTCTCCCATTTGGGCGAGCGAAGCGAGCCGCGCGAGAACGCGCGAGCGAGCGGCGAAGCCGCGAGGGGCCGGCGAAATTCTTTCCTTTCCTCGGCCCCTCGCTCGCGCGTTCTCGCGAGGCTCGCTTCGCTTGCCCAAATAGGAGAGCTTGCTCGCAGGCTAACGTAACTCCCAAGTACTTTACTGGAGAATTCTTAATGATTTACGTCAAACTTTTCTCATTGTATTCCCCGAACATCTCGCACAGGTTGACTTTGCTACGCCGGTATACCAGCAGAGTATTCCTTATGTAATTTAACAACCTTAAAGTGGAAACACAGTTTTTCATTTTTCAAAATGAGTTAACTGATATAAAAAACATTAGGGTGTACACCAATAGGAACTTGGTGCACGATACCACTGAGTATTAATAATAATTGAAAAATACGTCACTTCAAAGATTATGAAGAAGTTTAACACGATAATAATTCAACCTTTGGCATATCCTGTGGTAATAGACCCTTTGCAGCTTTGTCATTTACGCGGAAGAAAACTACCATCCTGTAGAACAAGAATCGCGGTGGGAGAAAACATACAAAGAAAATGACCATTTTAAATGATGTAAGCTCTTTTTCTTTTTTTCATGCGCCCCCGGCTCTCCAGTATTGCGGTTTTGTACCACGGCATTTCATTCCACGATTTTCTTGGCAAAATTCAAGTTTATACACTACCCAGGAGGGCAACTGTTTACGCGTTCGGAGCATTGACGTCATTCGTCCGAAAGTGAAAGAGATGACGTCAACAATATCCAAAAATAACATGATTAACTTAAAACCCGGAAATGAAACAATATGACATGTAATTCTTTTCTCACTGAATATTTTAGCATCGCGAGTACATGATATGTAGTCAAGTGAAATTTGTTTAAGGTTTGTTTTGGTTTCTACTGTTTCAAAGACTGAGTTTAGTACTTAAGGTAATTAACGGGTTAACTGAAAAAAAGAAAGAAAAGGCAAAATAAAATATGCCTAACAAAACACAATCTTGCTTCTTTCTTACCAAGACTGATTGACAACCGCCATTCAAAACTCACCGAAGCATTTCTCATAAGAAATAAATGAAAAAAAACAGCCGAGCCAGTATCCGTGCACTAGGCTAAAATTTACATAAAATGGAACCCCATTTAAAGAAAGGGAATCATTCAGATGAAACAGTTTTCAACAAATACTCACTTGCATTGCATTTATTTGTATTTAATTCTGTTTTTATTTAAGTTTATGTTATGCGCAAGAACCTGTAGAACTTTTATCCACGGACACAATATCAAGACTTGTCAATGAAAGAGTAATAACAGCAAAGCAACGGATAATAGATGGCTGACGATTGTTTGCAGTACAACAATAAGGGTTAGTTATCAGAATTTTTTCAATACTGATGACTGCGGGAACGTTATTTTTTTCTTTGAGGGCCAGTCACTCATAAAACTCAATATTTACAATCCGTATGTTGGCACATGCGGGCGTCAACAAGGCGGCTTCTTCCTTTGCTGCTGAGATGATATGCATCACCGCTTAATAAACATAACGCAAGGGGAAGAGGAACTGAACCGAAACAAAAACGTACCCTGAGGGGGAAGGGGTGAAAAATACAAAGAAACTTGATGTATTTTAACTACATACAGGAGCCAAATTTTCTTGGTGTTAAAATGTTCGTATGTGGGACGATGTTTTCTGAACCCACGATTTGAGACGACTTCATGGAGTCAGCATAGGCAGGAACCCATACCCCTGCAGACCTATGGCATGAATCAGTTTCGTTTTTGAATGCAACTGAAGTTCATTAGTATGACTTTGAGCAAAACAGAAACAAACAGCAAAGGCAGTGAACACTAACACCACCCTGAATCATGCTGTGCTAACGTTTGACAATTGATGTAAGGAATCGTGTTTTTTTTTTAATGGCGTCGTTATAGCCCGGGGGGTACTCAGTAAATGTTTATACGGTGAGGCTCCTCCCCACAGTCCAACCCCTTACCCTTTTATATACCATTTTTCACGAAAAAGGTACCCCCTTCGTATACCTTCTATTGACAAATGGTGCCCCTTTCACATACCTTGTTTAGAACTATGCATCCCTTTTAAATGCACTGTATTTTAAATAGGAATCAATCACAAAAATAGAACGTTTTCTCGACTTAATAAAGCCATAAAATTCATCTGTTAGCCCTTTTGGGCCCTTTTAACAGACCCTAACGACAGATCTCCCTACCCTTTTATATACTTCAACTACTGAAATCCCTACCACTTAATATACCTGTAGCCTGAAAGAGATACCCCTTTCGGGCGGAGCCTCCCCCGATAGGCCATCATAGGGAGTACCCCCCGGACATTATAATTTGCTCATTTACTCTGCCTTAAGTCGAATTATTGGACACGTTTAATGTGAAAGTTTATCCGTATCGAATTTGTACTTTTTAAAATGGAGATACCGTACCCTAGCTTTGGCATGGATTAAGCATGCTATAGAGACTACCCAAGTTGGATGGGATGATGAGGTCAGCCATGTATGGCACTTAATCTCTAAATTATGCGTAGCTGAACCGGAATTAGATATACGCATTCAAAATTATTTCCGAAGGAACAAAAGCATTTCAAGTCATAAGCTTTCACTTTTGCGGTTATTTGTTTGGTTGATTTTAAGGAGCAAAGTTTCGCACGGTTTCGCTCATATCAGCCGTTGATCGACTAGTATTCCGGATCGACTGAAATAAAATTCCTTCCGGACACGGTCTACTAACTGCAGCGATATTTGATGTTTTGATAGCGCTTCTAGCTCAGGATAGAAGCCATAAAAAAAACAAAGAAAACTTAAAAAATTAGTTATGAAATAAAACGAGCGAAGCGCCATTCTTCTTTAAAGTTTCTGTGCCAGTAATGGCATCCATAATTAACAAACTTCCTGATGGAAACGAACGAAGCCCACTTTGTTTTAGCATGATCTGTACCTCGATTCACTGGGAATTACAACGACGTTTTCAGAGTTAACATTTACCTCTATCGTAATTCGATTCTATGCAAGAAATCAAGGTACTACCAGAGCTCCTAATGCATGACAGCAAAGCTTATTTGCTTTACACAGAAACTGAACCCGAAACAGCCCAACATTTTGTTTTCTACGATCTCTGATCAGTCGTCAACCTGAATGAATCAAAGCAAATCAGCTTCGGTTTTATACAGTTGCGCTGATGGCGTTTAAACTTGGCCTATTTCTTTTCAAAAGCAATAAAAACGCAGTTTAAATTACAGCTTTACTTGTTTGAATAATTAATCAATCGTTAATTTATCTTACCATAAGGATCATCAGAGTCCACTGGATTTGCAAGAAGAGGTTCTGTCAGTTCTGCTAAAGTCGCCCGTCTGCCTTGATTAGCCATCGCTGTTTTTTGGGTTACAGGTTGTAAATATCTGTCTGTACTTTCGAGCCCTTACCCCTGAGCAACGAAATAATATATCAGACTTGCCTCAAAGCAACAACGGTAACGACAAAGTCAGTCGATTTCCTGAGTTAAAGGAGGGAACTTTGACATGCTTGCGCTAAATCTTGGCTTTAAAATAGTCTACACGGGGTATTTCCCTTAAGTCATGTTAATTGGCGTTATCCCTGAGCAATGAGGTCATTCGTCTTCCTGTTTGATCAGTACGTTTTTGTAACGCATTCTCGTGGCTTAATATTTGTCACGCACTCAATTACGTATGCAGTTCCCCTGCTCGTCACGTTCAGCAACGAAACAACAACAAATTATTTGAAAAACAAAACAAAACAGAACAAAAACTAGAAAATGAAAACTTGTTGTAAAGAAAAACTTGTGCTATCGATCTTTAGTGCTTAGAAATACGTTCGTAGGACCGAACGTAGAGAAGGCTTGAGGCAGTTTGCGGTCTGCGGTTTGGGTAATCAAAACTTTGTTGAAATTGCTGTTGTTAATCTCAATGCGGATATTTCGAAACGTGCGGGACGTGATGATGCCTTTAGCTTTTAGCTCCACTGTTGTCTTTTCTTTCTTCGTCAATATCCTTCACTAAGTACCAACAGATCAGTCTCAAATGAACAAAACCGTAAAAAGTGAAAGTTCTAACTGTGCGGCTTGAAACCTGAATGTAATACAGTCGAACCTCCATGTACGATCACCTCTCGTAAGCGACCACCTCCCATAAGCGACCACCAATCCAAAACACCAAAAGTTTCCCCTTCAAAGCCTTACAGTTGGGGTCTCTAGTAAAAGACAGGGCTCGAAATTAACGCTCGCATTAATTAACTGGCAAAAGTGCGAGTGATTTTGATACTCTGCGAGTGAGAAAAACATCCACTAGCAAACGTTTGCGAGTTAGAATCATCCATGTCTCCCAAGCAATGGGAGAGAATTTGCTATTGGTCTCACCAGTTTGCTAGTGGAAAAAAATGTTACTAGCTAAACTTTGCGACTGCACCTATCCCGTAGTCAATGACCGCTGGGACGCCACGTCATGATAGCAACCCTCTCCCTCCATTTAATTTTGTTTTGAGCTTCTCTTACGGCGTTGCAAAACTTCAACCCCGTCCACTCACAGATATTATTGTCCCAACGCTTGTTTTGTCGGCCCCTTCTTCTCCCTCCTTGCACTGCTCCTTGTAAAATTGTCGTGGCAAGCCCTGATGATCTTGATACATGCCCAAACCACTTTAACCTACGTTTCTTTACTGTGGTTAAGATATCATCATAGGGTCCAATGGCTTGCCTGATTCTGTCTCTGACTGCATCGTTAGTGATGTGATCTCTGTATGAGATGCCAAGCAGTTTCCTAAAGCATCTCATCTCAGTGGCCTGCAATTTCTTCAGGATGTCCGCTGTCAATGTTCAGGTTTCGCAGGCGTACAATAGTGCTGAGATAACCAGGGAGAGCATTAGTCTGATCTTTGAGCTCAAAGAGATATGCTTATCGTTCCAGATGGTCTTCAGTCTCGCTAGTGCTGCTGTTGTCTGTTCAATTCTAGACAGTACTTCAGGCTTGGAACCCTGATCTGTGACGACTGCGCCCAAATACTTGAAGCTGTCAACCTCGTCCAATTTTTCACCGTTGATTCTGATGTCAATGCTGATACCATTCGCGCTATTGGTCATCCGTTTGGTCTTCTCTGCACTGATTTCCATGCCAAAGGCCGCAGAGGTTCTTATCCAGGCAATCCACCAGGGAGGCTAGTCCCTCCTCTTTTCCTGCCAGGCCATCAATGTCATCAGCGAAACGTAAGTTGGTAATGGTTCTGCCTCCGATGCTGACTGTTCTTTGGTGATTTTCTAGTGCGTCAGTCATAATTCTCTCCAGAAAGATATCGAAAAGAGTTGGTGAGAGTAGACAACCTTGTCTGACTCCGAGTGTGGTTCTGAACCAGTCTTCTATGTCACCATTAAGGTAGACAGCACCAGTGGCCTTATTGTAGAGGATTTCAATGACTTGGATCAGGTTGGCGTTGAAGCCTCACAGTAGACCAAAGGGCTTTATGCCATACTCTGTCAAACGCCTTTTTAAAATCAATAAAGACGGACGTGATAGAGGTCTTGTTGATGTTGAAGGTACCTCTCGCACAGTGTCCTAAGATTGAAGATCTATTCTGATCGGAAACCTGTCTATTCTTCTGCGATGATTGATTCTGCCTGAGGCCTCAGCCTATTTAACAGCACCTTCAGCAGGACTTTACTTGGGTGGCATATAAGGCTGATTGTGCGGTAGTTCTTACACTGTTGAAGGTTGCCTTTCTTGGGAAGGGTGATGATAAGAGACTGGGTCCACTTATCACGGCATCTCCTCCTGCCTGTACCAGCTCTCCCGGGATATTGTCTATATATCCCTGGAGATTTTCCCTTCTTGAGCGATTTCAGAGCTGCTTCGACCTCTTCCCGCAAGGTTGGGTAGTTGTAAGTGTCGGTAACTAGTGGGACAGTCAGCACCTCAGGGTCACCTACTACTGTGTGGCTGTGTGCAAAACTTTGCAAGTGCACTAAGCACGAAAAAGTTACCTTCGAGCCCCGAAAAGACCACCTCCTGTACCGCGACCTGACGGTTAATGATTTTCCATTGTTTTTAAGGGACCACTTGACGCATTCTCTAATCTCTACGTTCGCTGTGTGCACTATGCTACTTAGAATATACAAAGATCTTAAGGGACAACATGGAACTACACATGTCGTAACTTAGACATTGCATGCAATAAATTATCTTCCATAAAGTAGATGTGCCTGGACCTCTTCCAGGAAGAGGCCCCCTGTAGTTCGATTGTTGTAAACGACGACCTCCCTGGGTAAGCGACCACCCTTTCTTTGCATTTTGGGTGGTCGCTAACGGGAGGTTCGACTGTGTCTGAACAAGTATATTGGCCTGTTCTTTTTGGTGTCTATAAAATAGGTCTATAAAAGAAAGTGACCAATATCCACTATGGTTGGTTAAAAGAAGTTATATACTGTACCAAAGTATTTAAGATCATTTATATGTTCCCATTTAAATCAGATCAGTTCTCACGCAATTTTAAAACATGAAAACTTGTCAACAACAAAGTTGCGCAGCCGTTGAGAAACGGCCGTGAAGGAAATAGTTGTATTAAAAGAAAAAAAATTGGCTCACTTATCGGAGAGCCGCACATGCCATGAAACAGCCAGATTGCAGTGTGCGTACATGTTGGAAAGAAGACAGCCGAGCTGCGAGCATGCATCCGTCATCATGCATCAGTTCCGGTCAGCTCTGCAATTTTCATTGGGCACTAGGTTTCCCAAAAATCCTTGGTTTTGACATGACAAGATTCCTTGTTGACTCAAGGGCAAATTTTCGTTCTCTCCAGTGACAACTTGAACTTGCAAACTGTTTAGGCCATAACCAATAGGCTCCTGTTATACTGTTGTTGTTCTTGTTATAGTGAGTGTTTTGTTCTTGTTGTTGGTAGGGGGTAGTTTTTTTTTTTAACAATAATTTTGTTATTTTATAGAAAATGTTTCCTTCATCTGGCCAATAATTCTTCCAATAACCATCTGGCGCTTACCAAATACCGAAGATGCAGCCACTGTATAATGCCAATATCCTGAATCACAACCCTGTTTCCAGGCCGCAGCGGTGCGGCAGCCCAGTTGTTCTGGCATAAGTGTAAAACTAAATAAAACGGTTAACGAGTTAACGGCTATCCCAAGACAAGACAGAAATACCTTAAAGGTGCCCGACGCAGTCAACGAATGTCCGATCTGCTTTTTGCGGAGCATCTGCAGGGAGAAAACATCTGTTCACATTTTGAAACTGTGCCGAGAAACTGGAAGTGTTCTGTAGGAAGTCTACAAGGAGGTAAGGGTGTTTTCAAAGAACTTTGAAATATTTTGAACAAATAATAATAAAACAATACTATTTCAGACACGAAGGCTTTCATCCACTTCAACTGCGCATAGTGCTACGCATAATCTTCATATCAGACTCTGTCTCATTCGATTGCTGGTTTTCACTGTCACGCCATTTCAAATCAAAACCGTTTTAAAGATAGAAAAGAGAGAAAGAGGAAAAGAGAGAATAACCATGACAAGACAAACCATGGCTGACGGAATCATTGGATAAAGAAGAAGGAGGATCAAAAGATAAGAATACCCACAATATAAAACCTTTTGAAATTCTACTATTAAGGCATTAAAAATGGTGGCTTAACTTCAACCTACTTCAAAATTAAGCTCTGTGCGTGGAAGTAGTATACTATTTTATTTATACCATGAATGTTCAGTCGTCACTCCTCGACAGAAAAACGGATTTAACCTTCCCCCTCCACTACCCTCCACTGCAGCAGAGAAATAACAAGTTTTCTATGCAAGACTATAAGCTGCAAAAGTATTGCAGACTGGAGGAAACGTGCCTGAAGACGCACAAACGTACAAACGTTGTCCCGCGCGATGCATTTTCATCCTTTTACTATATAGGATGTATTTTTTTCACGAGTCACTTCATAGCTTCGTTTAACCACAGTTTGAATTTATAAATCGTATGGAAAGTTTTATTTTTCGAACGATGGGGCCAAAGGCAAGAATTACAGCAAATACGACACGCAGTGTTTATCCGATATCCTGACAACGAGAAGTGGAAGAATTACAACCGATTTCAAGGTGCCCGGATGTCGGATGAAAGCTGTGTGGAATGGTTGATACTGAACTACTCAAAATAACAAAAAATTGTTGGGGAAATTCAACGCTAAACATCCTAAAACTTGATGGAAATAGAGATCCGAAATTCGCATAGCCAACCCAACATGGTAGTGATTTAATTTTATGACTGATTTGATTACTTACTTTATTTTTTGTCCTGTTAAACGTCTGTTTTTCCGGTTGAAGCGAACAAGCCAGAGGCTACAATTTCAATTTCCTGCGGAAGATCGTTTGATCAAAGTAAAAAATACTTAAGTACAGAAGTAAAAAAACCTTTTCACCACTTCATGAGTCCACTCAGTTTAAGTTTGCAGTTTTGTTAAGAACAAGGACTTTCATTGAAAAAGAAAACAGAGTTTAACACTTTTTCGAACTGAGTTGATTTTTGCTGATTAAAACGTACTATATGATTTGGTAGGAATAATTGGTTGCCATGTTGGTGTCCCAAACAAATCCTGTATAAGTTTTCTTCTAAATTTTGTTTGGGTAGACCCAAAAAAATTTTAGAAGGGTTTGTATGGAGTTTTCTAAGCATAACTGGACTACGATCTCAGAGACAATTTGCCCCGAAATGCTCATTTTTGGCAAGTAGGCCTCTTGGACATTGTACTTTCAGAATATCCTGACAAATCCCATAATTTCAGAAATTTCATTTTTATGACGTCATCACTTTCGTACTCTATACAAACGCGTCCATTGGTTCCAATAATTTTTCATAGATGCTGAGTGATCGAAAACGCTCTATACTAGCTTCGTCACCAGGCCAGTTCGTTCTTAACAGATGACGTCTCATCAGAAAAGGTCGACTGGCGGCTTCTGAAAGTCAGTATAAAACAGAAAAAAAAATCCTTTAAATTTAAACAAACCTGAAACAAACAAAGACAGAGATTTGTTGCCAAGACCAAGGTTCGTGTGGCTATAAATAAAGTAACCTTTATTGTCCGGCAAATATTCCAATTGTTTTTTCTGTTAGCAAGAGTTCGTTCTGTGTAGCCTTATGTTCAAATTGTAGTCTCCCGCTTAAAGAAACTATATTTTCTAAAAATTCAATATGATTTAACCCTAGGGGAAAAGGGGAGGGGAGGTGGATGGAACCCTCCCCGGAGTTTTTGATATGTTGCACTATTTCGAAACGATTTAACCTTTAGTGGAAAGCCTTTGATCTTCTCTACAAGGTGAGGTATATTTTACAGGTGGTGGCGCTGCTGGAGGCTTGTGACGTCACCAACAATGGTTGCCATCTTGGATTTTACCAAGAATTAGCAATCAGGTTAATTAATATTTTTGTGCTTTACATGAAAAATAACACATAAATAAGCACTATTCATGATTTTAGCCACAAGATTTACTTTTATTGTTGAAAGAAGTTGAAAAAACATGTATTTTCACCTAAAATGGCTTGACCACCTGCTTCTTATGACGTCATGTCTCGTAACCATAGCAACTGACCACCACTGAACTTCTCTAAAAAAAGTGCGCGAGGGATGAAAGAACAGCTACTGAAAACGTCTAGTACTGATGTTTTATCCTCTAGGAAAAAACTCAGAAAAACCTTAGTGGGGGCGGGGGGGGCATCCTCCCCCCGCCACCGGTTGTACGTCCGAGGGTTAAGAGTTGCAATATCTTCTCGGTGTATATATTGGCTACGAAACTTTGGAGGGAAGCGTCCGAACTCTTTTTGGCGGAAGTTTATCGTTCGAAAATTTTCCATCAATAGATTTTCGTGTTTGGATTACGTTAAACGAGAGATAACCTTTTTTGATCACGATACCTTTTTCACCTTGCGCTAGTCGGGCTCGCTGCCATGGAAACACAATAAAATCATGAGAAGTACAAGCAGTCAATTGTGCTTCTCATTATTACCATAATAGGCCTTTAGCAATAGTTGACCACGTGATCAACTTCTGTGAAAACGGTAAATTTTGTTAGCAGGAACTGAAAGAGCATATTAAAATTAGGTTACCTGCTAATTTTCAGCTGTATATATAATTATATATCTCAAAAGTAGCGATTGCAACGGCCGACGAAAAGCTAAGTAGAAGGATTTGAATGGGAAAGCAACTCTTGAAAATTACAGGTTACCTAATTTTAATATGATCTTTCAGTTCGTGCTAACAAAATTTTTCAAAAGCGAACTGTTTTCAAAAAGGCCTATTGTTAAATGAGCCGGCACTTCTTTCACCTGAAAGCGAACAGAAACCAAAAAAATAGATCTGGAGTCAAAACAAATGCCACGAGGCCGAGCTGTTTCGGTTTCTTCTTGGATTTTATTGTTCACCATCCTTAATTTCCCCCACCCCACCCTCCAGTTTTAAGTGGCCAAATTCAATTAACTTGAAACAATCAATTGAAAACGTCCAACCGAAACCGAAAAAAAAAATGAGCATTATCTTCCTATTGATCTGACGTCATTAGTTTGCTTCATACCTGACCTCTAAATATATATTGCTGAAGAATATGTTTTCGTATGTTTTGACGAGGACCGGACGGATAGAACACAGTGTACGTGGGTACTACTGAGTGCATCTGGAGTCAGGCAAGGATGCAAGTTCCCGCACGTTTGGAGGATTAATCAGTTACTCAATCTATTGAGAATCAGAATGTCTACCAAAAAATTACGAGAACTACAAGAGAAACTATTGCGGCCTCAAAATGGCGGTAAGGGTGTAGCAAAGAAATTTCTTAAACCTTTCTACTGCCAAAGGTGGCCAACGTTAAAATTCAGCAAATGTTCTCAATTTCATTTTGTGAAGCGCTAAAACGCAATAGTACCGTGCGAAAGTATCTCCAAAGGCGTTTCCACAGACCCAAACGTTAGAACCACAAGACTCTTTTATTCACCCTGGCAGTGAAAGGTGACAAGGGCATAGTTCCCTTCTTAAAGCACTTTAAATATCACAAGATTAAATGAGGAAACTGCCTGCTACTAAATTACGATTTAAGCCAGAATACATAAACTGAGCTGCAGTTACTTCCTTACTGAGATTTGAAAATATGACTTCGAGCTGAAAGTACAGTACGGTTCAGTATTTGAGGTTTTAGTTATTTTTACCTTGTCCAACGCCTATGAGCTTCGGTTTTCAAGCAGGCCCAGGAGCTCATCATCCTGGCTGGCCGGAGTAACGTAAGTCGAAACAAATTCAAGTCCAACTCACCAAATCGCAAAGATATTCAATTCTATACAGTATCTAGGACAGTCACTGGCAGATGTACGGAAAACTATGGTGTATTAAGAGGGTGGCCTCTAACGCTCATCGCGCATTAGACGATCTCTCCAACTCCTAATGATTCATGTCAGCATGCTCTTTTATACTTAAGTACGCTTACTTCCTTAATTGAATTACAAAAATAAGCCTTCGACCTTAAGGGTTGCGGTCGGTTATATGAGGGTTTGAGTTTAGTTATTTTTACCTTGTGAAACACCTAAGAGCTTCAGCTTCTAAGCTTTCTAGAGTAATTTAGCTCGACAAATTTCCAAACCTAAATCATCAAAACGCAACTGACGAACTTTACTACGCAGATTATATCTCGCACGGTATCTACAGTCACCTACTGGCAGCTGTATGGAGAAGGTGGTCGGACTTTTGACGATCTCACCGACCTCATCTTACCGTCCTGGTCTACATGTTGTTTGATTTGAAATAGGTTAAACGTTTGAGCGCGCTATATTCAGACTACCAATGCAAGTAAAGTAGAAATTGTCGAGTTTCTCCTGAACAAGTTGCGGAAGAATTGCGCCGAGATCGCTAACTACAATCGTTGAAGAGTTGTTACCACACAATCCGCGAAGGCAATTGGCGCAGATCATAAACCGGGATATCAGTCTTACCCTGATCAAAGATTCATTGTTAAATTATAAAACTCAGCTTCGCGGAACAATCAAAGTTGCTAATTTTTAAATCAGCGGACTGTCAATCAGGCTACAATTCACAAAAGAGAGATAAGGAAACTACACTCTGACTTAAAATAAGAACTTTCAAAGTTATGTTTGCATATTCGTTTTGCTTACTCTCCTTAATAACACACTATTTGTTATTAGTTGGCTTTATATTGTATTGTATTTCGCATAACTGAAGTTTGAATTGGTCAGTTTTGCATCCGGATGGAAAGAAGCGGATGTCGTCTTTTAGGATCGATAGTAAGTAAAAATGTATTTTCCCTTGAATATAAGGAAGGGACGGTGGCTGCGTGACATACTTCAGTGATGCTAACAACTGTTTTTCATAAGATACTTTATCAGTTCCTCATCCTGGCCCACCAGGATGAGGAATATCTTTCAGATCACTGAACAACTGTTTCTGATTCACAAAATCACTGCTGATCAGGTAGACTTTTATTGCTACACCTAGCATTTACTCGGGTCGGCTTCAGCTATTGGCCTCCTCAGTCGGAGAAAGAAAGTCATCAAGTCTAGAGCGTGATGTGGCTAAGATGGACGGTCGTGTGTTTGAGTGCTCCGCGTAACATCTCGTAAATTTCTAATGTTTAAGTGTTCCTTCTGCTGTCTTGTATCTGTTTGGTTATCTTGTTTCGTGTGTCATATTATGCCTGAGCAATCGTTATGTACTTGCCTTGTTTTATGTTAGTTTAAATTCTATTTACTGTGTAGTAGTGTCTTCACTGTTATTTAGTCCATCAATCTTGTTTTGTAATACGTCTTCAGCTCTCCCCGCCTCGATTAGCTTATAAGCTATTTGCCAGCGGGAAAGTAATGTAATTAGTTATTTTCCAATTTTCAATAAAATTTGTTGTTTGTTTTGTTTGTAGCGTGGCCGATGTGGTGCGTGGCCACAGACGGAATTAAGCAATAAAATTGGCAATATTAGTAGGTCTTAGTTGCTGTAACTTAGTTCATCTTGCGCCTGTACAAGCCGGAGGGTCTCAATGGGGTGTTGGTTCTCAAACTTTAATTCGATCTCATTCACTCCTGGGGAATTTTGCCGAACAACGCAATTTGAAGTTCAGGTCGAGCTGTTTCCTGTTTCCTGTATGCCTGGCTACAAAGAGCTAAAACTTACCAAAAAGCCGTTTACAAGTCTTGCACTTCGTGGTCTTCTGTTTTAAAGATGCCGGTCCCTTAAGTATCTTGAATGTAAACTATGCCTA